TTTTTTTTTTTTTTTTTTTTTTGTACATTTTTGGCTTTTGAATGCACACCGTTATTTCTACTTTAATTTTTACTGCGATTATTTTTATCATTAAATTTTTGAATTTAATGCGTTGCTTCTGCAATTCGGGTTTGTTTTTTTTACTCCGCAGTTGTGATTATATTTTGTTCCCTTCAGTCTTTTTTTTTTTCACTACGACGTTGTTATTATTTATGTGTGCGATTAAATAAATGACTAAATGGTTATTTAAACGGAAAATAATTTTTTTTTTTTTCTGTATCTCCTCCCCATAAGAGACGTTTCTCGTTTAATTTCCTTCCCAAGGATGTTTTTAAAATACTGTTTTCCTTCCTCGTCTAAAGGCTGCTTTTATTTTTTGAGAGGACTTTGTGAACACAAGCGCAACATTTTTGCGCAGGAAAAAGCGAAACGTTGACTGCAGATATGGAAGCTAGCCATGCTGTATATACAGGAACGCAAAAATAATATTTTTTTTTTTTTTCCTATTTTACGAAAAAGTGCTGATCTTCTAATGCCTGAGTACAGGTGAAAATACTTTAGCGTGAGAATAGACTCACTTCTATACGTGTCAAATTGTGTGATTAATTTTTCGAATGCTTGCAACGCTGTTGTTCAAATCAGTGTAACAGTTGTCTTATTGTTTTTTTCCTGCACGGAATTTTTTTTTTTCCCCCTTTTTCGCTTGTTTCCCGCCATTTTCACACAGCACGGCCAGAATCCTTATATTGACTACTTTCCTGGCTAAAATGAAAAGAGCGTGCGTGGTTGTTTTTTCTTTCCTTCTGTTTGTTGTTTCCCAGGGTATTTGCGTTTACTATAAAAATCCTCGCTTCAGTTCCCTGGCTACCAATTCGAAAAAGGACTTATCGGAGTAATCGGGAAAAGAAAATTTTCAGTCCACGGAAGGATAGATGAAAATGCAGTTTACATCTCCATGTGCTTCCTTCCATGTCCATGCGCCCCCAACCGATGAGGTATACGTTAATTTTACTGCCTCCTTTGTAGTGATCTGATAGAATTGAACAAGTTAAACGAAGAGTTAATTTCGAACGAAAGAGAAGATGAAGACGAGGATGAGGATGATAATGAGGAAGAAAATCTCGAGAATTCCAATTTTGATGACATAGCTCGAGACAGCCTCGAAAATGTGAGTTCCTACTTTTACGTACGAGGATTTTCACGTACACCTGCGCAGCTGTATGCACACATATGAATAGGCATTTTCTCCTTTTTCTTTTAAAAGGCCGAGGGGCAGGCAACTGTGGACCTTGAAAATGTAGAAATGGATAAACTCCTCGACGAAGGTTTTTTTTTTTTTTTTTTTTTTTTTTTTTCTACCCTTCCTTAGTACCCTTATGATTTCATACCTTCACACACACTGCCCATTTTACCCTTTTAAGAAATATTCAGGATAATTCAGGAACGACTGAAAAAGTTATGGTTAGACAGGAAGGGACCAAATTATTGAGATATTATTCCGGTGTTGCCACTTTAGGGCTTCCAATTAGAGCTCCTAAACATTTTGGCCTTCTTATGGTGCCCCCGTTTTAGGTACATTGGAAATTGCAGAAGGGACTACTCCGGTGTCTGTCCTTTGGGTTAGCAAAGAGGGAGAGACAAAACACTTTACTTCATAAGAACAAATGAAAGGATGTCCACCTCACAATGAGCAACAAAATTACCCATTTGCTTTGCTAATATTTTTAAATGGAAAAAAAAAAAAAAAAAATGAGGATAAATGTTTGCCCTTGTGCGATATTTCACAGTGCAATGCCTGCCTCTACAGTAACAGAGTTTTATAGGTGACTACACTCCTAAATTACCATTTTGCGTTTCTATTTTTTAAGGATGGAAAGTATCCGCTTATGATGAGAATCTTTGCATCCCACCTGAAACGTACGAAGGACCGTAAGTTGTCCCTAAAGAAAAAGGCTCATGCTGACGTAGTGCGCTTACACCCCGATACTTGTGTTCACCCGTGTGCGTTGCATGCTGCTAATCTTGTGTTCCACGATTGTGTAATGTATTTCAACCCTATCCCCTTCGGGCAGATGCAGATCAATAGATTTTTCGAACAGCAAAAATGTGGACAAGGAACTGTTCGCCTGGAAGTGTGAAGTGCAGTGGCCCTGCACGAACCGTAAGAGAAGAAATTTCATGTTGGGCGAGAACCGAAGGGGGCGCCAACACAGCTTTCCTATATGATCACACTTTGGTAAAACGATGCAACTGTTCTTCACTAACGTGGTGAGAGAGACCAGAAAAAAAAACATTACTCAAAACGCTTGCCCTTTTTCTAAGCCCCCAAATTAAGAGTCATGGAAAAGTGTCCCTTCAGATGGACACTCGTGGGCAGTAATTTGTGCATAGCACCGGAGGTAAATGCTAACTACATTGTGCACTTTATTCATTTCGCGGGGGGGAAAAAAAAAATATACACACGAATAACTATATATCATGCTTGTTACACTTGCAAAAGTGTTTCATCTGGTGCTCGAGTTCTGCGTCCAGGAGCTGAAACAAAAGACCAGCGAAACACGTGCAGCCTCACACGCATATGCATGTCTAATTTTGAAAAGTTGTGAATGGGAAAACGCTTCAGATAAAATTCATGGCGCCAATATTTTCCCACTCATTTGAAGGATTACATTGGGAAGTGCTCCCCCGCTATGGACTTCGCACATTACGATTACGAGACACGCGTTAGATGGGCCGCTGAATGTAAAAGAAGAAATGAGAAAAAAGGGAAAGAAAATAAAATCCCAGGGGTAGATAAAATAACACATGCCCTTACCAGAACAGTTGTCTACTTTTCCCTTTCCACCATAGCTAATTGCACCATGTTGACAATTTTTTTTTTTTTGCGCGTCCTTGAAACCATATTTAGGTAACGTCCAGTGGGCTCCTCTACCTCCACCTAAGATTGCAAAATCGAAGGACACAATTTTGAGGGCCTCCTCCGGGGGCCCCGTGGAAGAAAGTGGAAACATTATAAAAATCGTCCCAAAAAAGTGATTTTGTTTTTTTTTTTTTAAATTTGGAGCAAATATATTGTGCCGCTTGTTCTTCCCATAAATGTGCTTATCCGTTTTCATAAAATAGTGAATTATTTGAGCATCACTTATATTTAAAAATACAAAGTTTTATTAAAAATGTAAAAATTTTACAAAGTGGTATATGTTAATTAAAAAAAAATTATGAACAACGCATCCAACAACGGCGAGGGGAGACACAACTTGGGGGTAGGGAAAAGTAAATTGTGTCAACAGAAAAGGGCGCCCCTAAATTTTTGCCATAAATGTGAGAAAATTTTTTCATAGACGTAACATGTTTATCATACACAAAGGAGCAAGGGACGTGTGCATAAAAGCAAATGCTTATATTCCAATGGTGACAAAAAAAAAAAAAAAAAAAATTAGCTGCTTTGAGGTTTCCCAAACGACATGCTGCTAATTTCCAGAATTACTGATTTTTTAATTTTAACAGATTATTTTTAATTTCTGTCTTCACTTCCTCCGGGTTTAAGTTTAGCGGATCTTCCAACTCGTTTTGAAATCCTGGGATGCAGCCATTTTCGCACTTACACTTTCCCCCCAGGTAGGACGGAATGTTCTGCAAAAATAAAATAAATCAAATATAATAAAATATAATAAAATAAAGGGTTTGCATTTGCGCACAGAGATGGCCACTTTCGTCACACCTTCATAAGCTGACTTGTGCGCAGCAGCCCGGATGCGCACTTCCCGAATGGTCTATCTTTTGCGACGTACATTTTTATCGACTAGTACAGAGAACCATTCGCAATCAGCAGGTTCCTTGTTTGAAATAACTTTGGGGATTTCCAATTTGTTCAGCGTCCTGCGGCTTATCCCGAAGGCCTTCAGAGTTTCTATGGTTATTCTTATGTAGGACGGCGCGTTTATTAGGTACTGAAGGGGAAGGATGCAAAGTCACGCAATGTTAATGTGTGCGTACATGAAAGGATATAGTGGAGGAGAAGTTTCAGTGGGAAGATACTCCTCTATATATGCCGGATCAAATGCAATACGCGCTCTTCACCCTCGAATGTGCATGTGTGCGTGCGTGTGGCTCGAAACGAAGAGACGTACCGTTTTTCCAACCAACTGCGGGTGCAGAAATTCGGAAAGTTTTGACGTGGTGGCAAAAACCCTCAAGAATCTCCTATCAAATTTTTTCAACATAAATCCTTTTAAGTCGATAAACCGAAAAGTTCGACAAATGAAGTTGTGCTTTTTTGTGTGTTCATTACATACAATAAATTCATGCTCATTGGAATAAACAATATAATCAATTAGGATATTTTCTGGGACGTGGTCCAGGAGAAGGGTAAAATTACATAACCTAAGTCTACCAATAACAATTGGTTGCTCATCTATGGTCGTCTTATGAGTACATGCAGCTAGGGACTTTTTTATAAGCGAATAATAGGGCTTTATACTTATTGGTAATATAACGTCTTCTTCCGTTTTGAAGCATACTTTTTTATTTTTTTGTAATGGCTGCATGTTGGTTTTCCTCCAATGAATCGCTTTTTCAATGGAGTTTGCTGCTTCATCTAACTTGTCCCCATAGCTAAGAATGTACCTTATTATTATCGAATCCTCCGTTTTTTCGCTTATATTTTTTGTTTTCAATATGGACTTTATTTTCTTTATTTCTTCTCCATATTTCTTTATGAGTGCATCTAAGTTAGATGACAGATTCCCCGCGTCCAAAGTCATACTTACCTTTTCTGAAGCACTTGGGGATTAGGGCGGTTATCAAGGGTGCACAAGAAGTATAATGGGTGGTTTCAATTTCGACCAGGGGGTAACGCAACTGCGGAGTGCATATGCTCCGGTCAATGCTCTTTTACTGAGCTTGCATATACACACAGGCAGTTTTCCCTCTCAGTGTGAACAGTTCTTTGGTGTCCTTTTTTTTTGGGGGGATGCTTTTTGAGGAAAAAAAGGAAAACACGTTAAAGGGAAAAGAATATTTTCGCACAGTATCATATGTTAAAAAATTTTAAACATGTGATTTCCTTGCTTTAAAAAAAAAAAAAAAAAAAAGCAGCTACTAGCAAAACTTAAGACGATATAACAGAATGTATATAACGTAACACGTATGGGGACACAATTTCGCATAATTTGCTAAACTTTGCGCAATTTTATCGAATTGTGTAGGTATATATCACAATTTTGTCATATGCGTTTTTTCCCCCTCCACGTGTACACAAATGCGTGTGGTCAAGTGTTTGGATATATGTTGGGAACAAAAAAAAAAAGGGCAGGACAAGAAAAAGGAAAAATATAGGAAAATAAAAACAAAATTCCAACCCTAAAAATAAGTTATTAAATCCAATTGGTACGTTATTAAAGGGTACAGAAAAGGGACAAATTTGGACAAAAAAGTTAAATGAAATGGAGGCGGGAAAAAAAAACGAAAAACATTACATTATTACACTGCCGCTGTGCAATGCCGCTACGCACTGGCGCTATGCACTGCAGCACCTGGTGACTACAAAGGAATTAACTGCATAATAATCAACCATATCAGCAACAAGGCAAAAAATTTGGACAAATAAAATTAAAATGTGTTCATGTGAAAATGTAAGGCATTCTTGCATCTTAAATATACTCATTTAAAAAGTGAACAATACTTTCCCCCCTTTGTGTGGTACTTGGAAAAAAAAAAAAAAAAAGAAAAAATGTATGCACATATATACATAACTTTAAAATGTGCATATGGACGGCTTAAGACCCACGCTGCGACACTAAGTCTTCATAAAAATTTATTGACCTATTTGCGTACGTAAATGTAGTGTTAACGTAAAGGAGGAGAAACGTCACAATGGGCATTTAACGTAACAACAAAGGCTATTCTACACGTGCCTAAAAAATAACTGTTTTTTTTTTTTTTTTTTTTTTTATAATGCATAAAGTTTGAGGAGCGGAAACGCGAACATATGACGTTGGACAGGGGTAATAAGGGAACACGGGGTCACTAAAGCGGGCTGAAAATCGGTGGACTGCACTACACAGGAGATAGAAGGAACTCGAGTATGTGAATGAGGTGACAAAAATAGGAAGAGACCGAGATTGGGTAACACAAATGGGGCAAAACGATAACACTGAAATAGGATGACACGCATGAGACAGTGGAGACAATACGATGTGGTAGAAAGACACAAAAATAGGTAAATGGGGTGGGTAACAACGTGACAACGCGAGCACAAAAAGGGAAACAGTTAGGTGAGCATATTCCTCTTATGCATCATTAAAGAAAAAAAAAAAAAAAAAAAAAAAGCTCGTGCAAGTGAACACTTAAATGAACGAAAAAATTTAAACAATGTTGAAAGCAAATGGATAAACGTGTTGCCCCATTTTGTAAAGCTGTTTTCTCATCTTCCTTCACGTGCTTATACACATTGGTATAGTATAAAATGGGAATGCCACACGTCGGTCATATGTTTTGGAAAATGCATTCACATACAGAAGGGGGTTGGTCAATCCTCCCATGTTGCTTATATGTATGTACATATATATACACACTTACACCATCCAATTTCACATAAGGGGTCAAAAGGGTGTTCTTTCACATAAACACATAGGAAAATACACAGCGCATGTCACATAAATGTGAATACATGGAAACTATAAATAATTCACACTTAGTGGCCGCTTCGTTTGGGCTTCTTTAAATATTTATCATTTTTTAAAAGAACAGGAGAAATCGTAAAAAAAAAATTAAAAACACCAATATGAAAATATATAAGTATAAATCGCAGCACTGCTATTTGCAATATGCATAAAAAAAGGTAACCACATATGTACGCACATGTATGTATATTTACGTACGTTGCTTCATCCCAAGTGATGGGTTACAATCTCCTCACACAGTTGGCTTCTTATGTGTAATGTAATATACATGAATGATCACACCCCATGAACAAGCAAGAGCCTTTTTTTCAGCATCAATAATATAGTACAGAAAAAAAAAAAATGTTATTCCGTTTGTTTCCCTCTCTCTTTTTTTTTTTTTTATGACATTTTAAGCTTGGCTTTTCTCAATCTGGCTCCGTCAAAGAAAAAAAAAAATTACGCCAATAGGACATTATTTTGTCTTTACCATTACTACAATTATATGTGAAGTTATTGCAAAGAGTACAATATTTCCGTGCTTTACTGGCAATAAATATATATGCAAAAAGGCATTGTAATTTTCGTTGCAATTTTGGATGCATGCCATTTTACGTACATTCGTAAAAATAACACAGTACACTGATTTCGTAGAATGTTGAATAAAGCCACAAGAGGGATGTAAAGACTCTTCGTTTGCGTGAACGGATCGACGGCAGATCCGGTGGCGCCAGTTAATTGCCGTAATGCCCTATTCATGACTTTCGAATGAGCATTTAAATTAGCGACGAAGAAGCATTGACCGCTATTGTTACAACAAAATGCGTAATTTTAAGTTTCACGCCGTTTTTTCTTGGAGGAACGAATTGAAAAATTCGCGAGCGCCTTGATTTTGGCGAAGTACACATAAGTAGTTGCAGGCGCGTGTAATCTTACATTATGCGCTTGATTTGGGATGGCCACGGAAATTTCCCATTTTTTTGAAGACCACATTTGCCAGCCTGCTTATGCCCCCGTTTACCATACATACATGTGTATATGTATTGTTCATATTATTATGTTACTTTTTTTGTCACCACCCCACACCCGTGTTAATCTGGCGTGTCGCACCAATTCACAATTGTGAGCGTATAGTCCTTTGTCTGCTACCTCACTTTATAAAGAAAGGAAAGTGTAAAACATGGACCCAAGTGCTTATAAGAATTTCCCCGTTTTCTACTTGAAACGGAAAGGTACGCGGAGAGAGAAAAGTGAACCGGGAGGCACCATAAAAAGACCTCAAAATGTGGTAAATTGCCCATCCCCCTTCAACCTCTTCAAACGCTTGGTACACCAAAAAGGGTGTTACCGAACTATGCTCAACTCACATATGAATACCCCTCCTCCTTCTTTCCCCCATTCCCACATATAACCCTAAAAGAATCAGTAAACATGGACAACGAGCAATTTATGCCCAAGCTAAACACACTAGAAGAGTATATTAATATCTGTTTCAACAATCTACCTTACCAAGAACTAACTATAGATAATAAAAAGAAGTTCCAAATTGAAAGCTTATGTGATTTTTTTGTTTTCTACAACTGCGATAGGGTTATATGCACATTGATTGAAAAACAATGTAAAAATAAAACGCTATGTTTTTTTAGCGATTTGTGTGAAAAAATAGACAATAAATACTTTAAAAATGCGGATCATTTTTTAAAGCATTTTGTAGAGACATGGAATAATTTTTCCTCCGTTGTAGTTCATTTAGACGAACTGTTCAAATCCTTTAGAACGTATAATAAAAACGCGTGCTCCAATTTTGAGTGCCCGTCATATATATTTAATCAGTTGTGGAAGAAGTGCATAAATAGGTATCTGCCTGTGAAGAGAATTCTCATTCGCAGCGCTTGTGATTATTTAAAATGTGACAAGGTGTTTTGTGAAAAGAAATTTTATCAGTACATTTGTATGAACATGCACGATGATGCTTTGGACAGCAGGGATAATGAATATGATGGAGTTTCTCTTTCCCGTGCAGCGGGGAGAGTAGGAAGTACTCTCGGAGGGGGTCGCAACGTGAGTCTGGTTGGTGCGAGAAGTCTCAGTGATGATACTTCCACCGTAGAGAACCGTTGGAGCGTAAATTCTAACAAGGTCAACGAGGGCGACAACGGGGAAAGCTGTGACAGCGCTGGGGAGGAAGTAAAAATGGGGGAGGCTGTAATGGGAAGAGGTATCAGTGATACTACATACGTTAACACGTCCTCCCTTGTTAATACACATATGGGGATAGAAAAAGCAGAGAATGAACAATCGCATACGAATGACCCCAACATCTTCTTTGGTGTGAGTGAGGAGGGAACGAAGAATGATGCGCCCATAGATGACAAGCTGCTGTGTGCAGGCCTGAGGATCATAGACATGCTGGGACTGTATGACGAATTTGAGTACACATACAAAAATGATACGCAGGAGTATTACGTGGAGAAGGTAAAGGAACATATGTCCAATGATGATATTGTCACAGAGATGATGGAAGATACCAAAATGGAGGGGAAAAACGCCAAACGTGACCTTCCCGAGGAAATCGAAAATTACCTCTGCCACGAACAAATGAGATGTAGGAAATTTTTAAAAGAAGAAACAGAAATATATATTTTAAAAATGCTAAAAGAAGTGCTAATTGTAAGAAACAAGGATATCCTTTTTAAAAATGTGTACATAAAGCATTATATTGAGAATGAGAAATATGATAGTCTGAGGATGCTCTATTTATTTTCCCTTCACATGAATGACACGGAAAATTTTTGTGATATATTTTTTAAAGCAGTGGAGGAAATAGGCCTTGACATAATATACGAGGTGTTAAAAAAGAGAGACAATTTGAATACCCTCTGCGATGCACTTATACGATTAGTAAATTATAAACTAAACATTGACAGAGTGATTATCATCTCCTTTCGATATTCTTCCTTTTTTACAAACAAGTGGAAAGAAGTTTTTGAGCATTTTCTGAACAAGGGGAACCATGCAGAGAATTACATGCCAGTGATACTCAGCATTTACTTGAACAATTTGTTGATGATGTACAATACAGGCTTGAAGAAGCTGAAGAAATATTACATAATTAATAAACAGCTGAGAAAGGGTAGAAGCAAGAAAAATAACTTTTTGTTTGAGAAGAATTGGCAAAGTTTTTGCAACGAATCTGTTATCGAGGGGGTGGAACAGGAAAGCTCAATTTCGACGGACAGCGATACAATGATGGTGGTCAAAAAATATTTAAAAAATAAAAAAAGGAAAAAAAAATTCCTTCATCGCGTGACCCATATGGGTGAAGAAGGTACCCATAGTGATAACCAGGCCGCAGAAGAACCCAACGATAGCTGCGACGAAGAAATGATACACGCCCACACAGAAAAAATGGAAAAGCTATTTAAAAAGTATCATGATGTAGGAAAGTACATTATAAACACGGTCACCATAATTCTGAGTCTTTTTAAATACCTAAGTGATAAAGAAAAATTCGAGAAATATTTTCGAACATTTATGTGTAAACGATTAATAAATGATAAAAATTTTAACATCGTTCTGGACGTGAAAGTTTTTAAAACTCTTAAAAAAGAATGTGGTCCCCAATTTACCAAAAAAATTGAAACCATATTGAAGGATATGAAATTTTCTTGTAAAGGCATGCAGGATTTTTACAAGGAAACTGCACACAATGGCATAAAATTGCTCAAAAAAAAAAAGTATGCCGTTAACGTTATATATAACGATGTCTGGGAATACAACAAATTAGAAGGTGATATTATTTACCCAGAAGCCATAAAGTTATGTAATGAATATTTTTGCAAATATTACGCACTTGCTAATAAAGCCAAAAATATTAAGTTCCTTCCATTATATGGACTATGTACTTTGAAAGTCGATTTGGGAAAGATAAAAGGGAAAAAATGTTCTACATCGAGTGGCTCCTCATGGGAAAGTGTAGACTATCGTGAAGTCGGAAAGCATGTGACACGTGGAAAAAGAGGCTCCAGAGGTGATAGCATAAGTAGCGGGAACGGAAACCCCAAGGATAAAAATATTGTTCGTGAAGATGAGAATTGCAAAAATCAGGGGAGGTTCCTTTTCACGGTAACCACTCTGCAAGCAACCGTTCTGATGTTATTCAATGAGAGGCCACAATACAGCATAAGCGAATTGACCGACCTCACAGGGTTCTCCAGGGATCATTTAATAGAGTACTTACAAGCCATATACACTGGTTACGAAACCAACATATTAATTTATGACGAAGAACATGAAAATTTTCAGTTAAATGTGAACTTCCAAACGGACAATAAATATTTAGTGGTCAACTATTCAGACCAGACGTATAAAGACAACGCAGCCATACCTGCGTTGACACAAGACGACCGGGACTTGGAAGACAGAACTCTACACATGGATGCATCCATTGTGAAGTTCTTAAAAACATGTGGAAAAGCATCCGAGAGGGACATTTGTGCGCACACTCGCCAAAAAATTAACAACTGCACGAATGAACAAATTAAAAACAGACTTGCATCCCTCATTAGTAGGGAGTTTATATTCTTACAAAATAATGTTTATTATTTTGAGTTGTGAAGTGTATGTGTGGGGCAGGTACACAAAATGTGACACTCTTCTCGAGAACAATGTCTTTTTCCTTTTTTTTTTTTTTTTTTTTATTTAATTCAAAATGTTTTTGTGAGGAATTATGTCTTCCCCTCTTTTTGCACTACATTTTTGTTCTCCCCCCGTGGGTTCAGTAACGATTTCCTCCCGTCCCCAAATTAACCCTCCCCCTTGAATGTCCTGATTGTGGGCGTCCCTATGTGCGTAATGCGTGAGGGGACCAGCTGATGTATCTTCATACACATGCATGCCGTAGCAGCCCACATGGATGCTCTTCCAAAGTTAAACTTGATTAAATTTCTTAACAAAAAAAACGTTCGACGTGATACTGAACAGTTTTCATTGTAAATTACGTATAAAAAAAAAAAAATGGTTAAGCAGTTTTTAAAAACAAATGACTAATATTCTTTTATCTTTGGGTTTTAAATCAAAAGGGCGGGAAACATACATAAATGCGCAGTACGCGCGTGTGCCAAAAAATAATAAACAGATAGCCATCTACATACCTGTATGCATATGTTGACAAAATGAAATTTCAAAAACAAATGTAACAACATTACAACAGGACTTATGACGAGCATAGTTAACACTTGATCAGTCATAGGCACTGACTTGTAAAGCAAAAAAAAAGTCTAACATTTTTTACCAAAAAAAATAAGAAAAAAAAAAAAAAAAAAAGACACCTGCACATGTATAAATATACACATACAACAAAACAAAAAACTGGAATGATTGAAATGATTGGAACATTTCTTCCACACAAAAAAACAAAAACTCTTGGTCGCCTTTTAGTTCATTCTTCCTAAACATGTGCTTGAGCCACATAAACAAATGAGTTTTTTTCCTTCCGATTCGACACCAAACTGCACGGGAGGTGAGGGGCATCAGTGAGAAGCGAGTGAAGGGCACAGGTTTAGGGTCACAAAAGAAGGCAACATTATTCAACCCGTGAAGCAAAACGAAGCAGGCGAATCTGGGGAAAGTGTACCGCCTCCATCGCAAATCTCGCTTTGCTCTATTTCTTTCTCTTACCTGATAGTCGTAGGTTATTTCTTCGTGCGCTACAATGTCTCTCTTGGCAAAGATGACAATGTGTTTTAAGTTCTGATCACAGCTTACTATTTTACAAAAACAATTTGGCTGAAAAAAAAAAAAAAAAAAGGGTATGAGGGAAAAAATTGAGGCGTAAAAGAATGATGGCACCACCCATCCCTAGGAAAGAACACAGGTGTGAACGTAAATACGGGAACATCACGCAAAACTCATTCATCTGACGCGTAATAATCTGCGTGTGTCTTTGGCGACTTACCTCGCAGCTGTGGTTGATAAATCTGCTCACGTTTCCCCACTTGGTGGCATCAATGATTATATTTTCGTTTAGCCTGAACATGTAACAGCTACTCTCAATTTTGTCATAATACTTTTCCCTCTTGTCACTTATTATGTTTCTAATATATTCACCAATGTATTCGATGACAGGCTGAACAGGGATCAGAACGAAGGGGAACAGAACAAAATGAGTACAGGCGTAGGCAAATAGACGCAATGTTGAGATACACCGTGTTAGGAGCAAACCAAAGGGATACTAAGATAAAGGCACACACCCAGCACGGGGGAATACAAAAATGTGAAGTACTGTGCTTACCTCTCCCTCATTAATAAATTCGCACGTGTACAGGCCATATCCATGAATGCTGCTCTTCTTGACGTACAGCCGCGAATTGGACGAGATGTTCATTAGGTAGCGGTACGACATTGCGCTGTTGATGTTGTACTTATACTTGACCGTTTTCCTCATGTTCTTTTCCTGGAGGGGTGGTAACGATGGGGGGGAGGAGGATGTCAGAAACTGGGGGTTCAGTCAAGAACGTCACGGGAGGGTGTTGCTCCAATTATACAGGACGAAGCCGCTTATGCAGAAAAGCAAATGCATAATCACAATTACGCACAAAATGACGTTGACGGACTGCAGCAGCAAAGTCTCACCTTTTCCTTTTCGTTCTCCTTAAAAATTGAGGTGTCCAAATTGGAGTACTTACACAGCAAGTTGTCATTGTATATGACTTCCCGCGTGCAGTTCTTTACCCTCTTTTTGAATTGCTCCCTGAAAAAGTGCAACATAAAATAGCGCCATGGGTTGTTTGTGTGAATGCGTAAAAAACATATACAGTTATGTGTGTGCACGCACAATTGTGGTAACAAAGAGGAGGGGGGGAATTTAGTGGGAGGACTAATGAGGGCCTTTCCACAACCAATCCTCGTACGTATCCCATCCATCTCCACTTGTTAGCAGCGCATTTACCTTTTCCCGGACCTCCTAATGTAATTGCTAATCCTGTTGTTCACACATTTCCACAAATATTTAAAGAGCTTGTATTTCATTTGATAGATAACGCACGGGAGGGTCAAGCCGAAGAAGTCATGCGGGTCGACTGCCTTGACGTTGTGTTGCACAGATTTGAAGATATAACTCTGCATCAGCTCAAGCAACTGGGAATACCTGTCGACGTACTTTTTATATTCATCCGACATGTGCACATTATTAAGATCTCCATTGGGGAATTTAAAAAGAGACAAAAATTTTGTATGTACTTCCTGTATGTCATGACTTTCCGCTAAAACAAATTTCTGAGCATCAGTTACGGAAAAATGATCAACGCTTATTAAGGGAAATAGCATGATGGAAAAGAAAAAATGTTCATTCTTCAAAGTAATGGAGAAAATGTACGTGGCACGTATTTGTAAAAATATCCTCTGCAAGGTTTTCTTCTTTTCATCCTCGTCATCAAAAATTGCGTTTTTATAAATATGAAAAAGAAATGCGGCGGGCAAATTAAAAAATATTCTCATGTTCACAAAACCACAGGGGTATATTCTCTTCTCTCCATTATATTTTATAATTTCTCCCATGTGTAAGATATTGTGACAACCTATTTTTATAATTCTACACTTTGCGAGGTTCATATTATTTCTACAATTGAACTTATAGTGCGAGAATAGCTTTTCATTTGTTCGCTTGATAAACACATCGTTCGTATCACTTATAATCGTATTTAACAAAGAGTCCTTATTGTCCTTTAAGCTGTTACTTTCGCAAGTGCTTTGTTCTACACTTGCCATTCTGGTACATGTTCCCACGGCTACCGTAGTGGTGGTTCCATTCCCCTTGTTTGTTCTCTTCTTTTGTTCGCTCTTATCGTCTGCGTTGGAGCACAGTGCCACGGTATCACTGCTCTCCATACGGTCGCTATAATTACTAACCCGTTGCAACCTCGTTATATTTACCTTTCTGTTGACATCCTTTAGCTTGAAGTAAAGGTTAATGCTTTTCATTTGTTTGTCTTTCGTTTCTTTACTGCAGTAGTACGCCATGTCCGTTTCTTCCATTTCGTTTTCGCTACTGCTGCTGATGTTATTCTCCGAGTTGTCATTGTCCCCTTCGGATTCGTCGTCGATGAAGGTCGTGTAGCAAATCTTACGCAACTGCTGAGGTTGCTGCCCTTGCCGTTCACAGTTATCATTTCCTACTTGCTCATTCGTTGCTGGTAAATTCCCTTTGTGGCTCTTATCCTTCACATGGGTAGTTGTATCCTTTCGCAATGAGGTACCCAATCCGTCCACCGCATTGCTGTAAAGCACGTGGGGCAAATGTATGTTGCAAGTCTGTTCATCATTCGAATAAACATATCTAACAAAGGAATTCTCCTTTTTTTTTAAAAAAAAATACTCCTCATTCTTTAGTGTTATTTCTCTACCAATGTATAAAAAATATTTGAGGATAAAATAGGACTTGAAGATATTTTCCACATTTTTATTGTCAATAATGCTTTGCATATTTACGTCATTTCTATATGCTTCGCTCTCTTCATGCACATCGCTATTATTGTATGCACCATTTTTCTTCATTAACTGCTCATTTGTGACTTCATCGTTTTGCACCTTGCTCTCAAATAGCAACTGATACCTATGGTTAATGAAACACTTCTCATCATTTTTGTTGGCACATTCGTTAATGATATTCTCCAAATGATTCATTTTGCTTTTTATCTTGCTTTCCTTATTAAATAATTCTTGCAGCGATATCAGGGGCTTCCTTCTATACCTTATCCTCACACACTCATTTATGCTGTACAGAATTTTATCCATAACATAGTACGATCCGTTTTCATAATAGAAGTGGATGAAATGTTTGTAAATGTTTCTCAGACTTTCAATTACGTTTATTTTTTTCCTATGTGTGATACGTTTAATTTTCGATTCAGCTGATATTTGACTATTTTCTCCTGTCCCTGCCTGCTCGCTTGCCCCATAGTTCTGATCCTCTGTTTCTCTCTCCAGATTTAACCCACCTGTTGTGGCATCATCTTGTTTGAGCTTACTACATGCAGGGGTAACATCACCTTGGATCACTTCCCCACCTTTCGCCGTACACTTCGCGTCTTTCTCTTTTTTCGATGGTGTTCCCTTGACCATTTCCACATCTTTGCTTGGTTCCTCTCTACTGGAACACTGCATGTTCTCCTTATTTATGTAGAACGAGTTGTATATCTTCTTGGCATTCCAGCACTTATTGCACCACACTTTTTTTATATTGTAGATAATGTGCACGGGGAATATATCCTCATATAGCGACTGCACTAGTTCCTTTTCCTCTGCACTATTGGACGATGGGTGGCAATATGTGTAGAAAATGGTGTCCTTGTTAAATTTAATCAATTTGAAACATTTTAAATAATAAAAAAATATATTCTGATGAGAATTCTTTACCATGGTAGAGTAAAAAGCACAATTGAGGTGAAATTTTATGTTGCAATTTTCATTGCTGCAATATATGCTGGCATTCTTGTAACCACACAGAAAGCACGTAGAATTGATGGAGTCATAAATTATTTCCTTCACATCCTCTTCGTCTATTTCGATTATATGTTCGTAGTTATGGAAGAAGTTTTTATTTTCTGTCCAGCAGAAGTTATCCCTTAGTTTTATATTTTTTATGCTCTTCTTTACGTTTATGTTTTCTTCCGGTGTGGTCCTTTCTTTTGATAAATTTTCCTCACTAGGGTTGTGCTGACCTGCTTGGTTTTCCCCGCAAAATTCTTCCCCCTTAACGCGCGTTTCGCCTGCGCCGTTCGGATGGTCCCTTTTGTTCGTATGGCTGTCAAGGTGGTTGTTACTTACATGGGTGCTGCTCAGGTGGGCACCTCCAACATGGGAAATATTTCCATTGGCGCTTCTAACCTGTCCACCAGTGTGTGTATTGTTCCTGTCGACACTCTCCTTAGTTCCTCCTACTGCCTCATTCTTAACCGAACATGAAGCACTCGCTGCGGGCTTCTTTTTTCCTCTTTTGCTTGACGAGCTCTTTGATCCCTTTTTATTATTCGAGGGATTCTTCTTATCATCCACCTTGGATTCCGTTGCCCCCTTGCCAATCCTACTACGGCACTCGCACACACTGCAATTCAACTTATAGTATTGTATGCAATTTAGGCTCCATTTTAAACATTCGCTATGAATAAAAATATCATAAAATGGGATTAGCCTTCCCTTATACAGGTAGTTACCGTAATGGCACAAAAGGCAAGTCTCATTGTTCTTTTGCCTGAGGCCTTTCTTATCAGTGCCTTTGCATTTTATCATATTCAGGCTTTCCTGCCTGTACATATTAAGCATAATCTTCACATATAAATTTAATTTATTTTTTATGGTGCATTTGATCTTCTTTATATATTGCTTTACTTTCTTTTGGTACTCGCTACTGTAGAAGGGGCTAACTGTAAGCTGGTCCTTCTCATTTTGACCATCCTTTTTGTATTCATCGCACGTTTCCTCATATAACAAAAGGGAGGCCGCTCCTTTGGCATTTGGTTTTGTAAACAATTCTGACTTTTCTTCCTTTTGCTGCCCTTTCCTACAAGCGCTGCTACTGCGGGAGGTATTCGCCAAATCCATTTTTGGCACATGGTTTTCCCTATGCAGGAAAGGCCATTCCGACTCGCCCTGGTTTAACGTTCGTAAGACATCTGCGAAGGCCTCGGTGTTTTTCATTTTGAAAAATAAATTGTGGTTAAGTTTTCTCCTTTTTAACCTCTCTACAATGCGGACCTTCTTCACGGTTTTCGCGGCACCCTCAAGTGTACATCCATGCGTAAAACCACGTGTGTTTTCGCTTTCGCGTCCTGCTGTCCCTAGTTCTGCTTCACATGCCGCCTTGCCTGCCCCTTTACACATTCGCTTCATCCTCACCCCACTGACGTGCACCTTGTACAAGTAATACAAATGCAACAAATAAACAGAGTAACTGACGATGTGCTCAAAGTAGCTTCCCCCATTTCCAGCCGCACTGGAGACCCCTTTTCTATAATAACAAAATAGTAACTTCCTAGCCGCGAGGGACATGTGAACTGAACCCGTGACGCCACTCGATTTTCTTTTTACTTTCCTAGCACAAGCGGATATTCTCATGCAAAAGAGGTTCAGAGCATATCTCATAACATGTAGGTCTGTCGATGCAAAAGACATGACCATACTACCACTGCTATGAAATAGCCGTCTTAACTGATCATCCTTCCTAACTTTGTTGCTAAAAAAGGGAAAAAACTCATTACACTTAAAATAGCCCTTGCTAAAATATAAACGGTAGAGTAGTTTCACATTTGATTTATTTCTTCGGAGAAATTCATCTAGCAGACGACAAAATGCTTCAAAAACATTCCTCTTAAAGTACATAAATCTAAGGCTCATTTTTATCACGAAATAAACCAATTCATACAACTTCCTTTTTTCATTTCTGTCCTTGTTCAAGTTGAGCATAGTCTTGTTTCTGTGACTGCTATTTTCGGGGTATGCCATTATATACTTCTGAATTTGCCCATGACGTAAACTGCATGCGTTGCACACGAAGAGAACGTTGAAATTGCCGCTTTCGTCCTCTGCGTTTTTTTCTGCGTTCTTTTCAGCCACTCTGTCAGGCGCACTGTTGTCACGCTTGCCAATTTTGTATTCACAGATCATACAACAAATGGAGCATTTGTAAACGTCTGGCCTGGTTTCAAAGAAGTGCCTCACATTTGTGCCTGACTTCTTATCCTTTAAGTAGGCACGGTTGAAGAAGATGTTATTGTGCGCGGATATTTTGTTCATCCAGTAAATCCAGTCCGGGTCCTGTTTTCCACTGAGCTCGTTTCTTATCCTGAAGTAGTCCTTTTCCTCACGATTGTTGCCTCCCCTGTCGTCGCCTTTACTATCATGTGTTCTATTAATAGGTGCGTTTTTTTCGTCACACCCAGGGAAAGCAGCATCTACATTTTGGCCATCTTTCGTTACGTCCTTCAAATTCGCTGCTTCATTTCCTTCATCGCCTGCACCTCCTGCGCCGTGTTTCGCATCGACATATACGAGCTCTTCACATGCATTGGTATTACATAACGGTTCCACGGTTCCTTCATTAATCGTGTTCGTGCTGTTAGTTATTCCATCACCAGCTCCCTCGGGGATTTTTTCTTCCTTCCCTTCATCAGCAATGCCCTTGCTTATGCTTTTTCCCTCCAGCTCCATCATTTCTCCTTTAACCTGGACAACATTAGTTTCGTTAAAGACGCTCCCCTGGTTACCACTGGCACACGCACTCTTCTCAACCGCCGCGATCTCCTCCGTAAACGCATTAAAGGAAAAGTCATTTTTGTACAAGACAACGCAGCTATGGCAAAGGTACGTATTCGGGGTGATTCTCTTGAACTTGGATTTCAACACGAACTTATTCCTCTTCAAAAATCCCTTTAATTTGTTTATTCTGTTTCTCTTCCTATTACTTCCTGTCCGTCCTTTATTCATAGTAGAGTTATCAGATTCTGAAGCGTCCGCATAAAGACACAGCTCCTCATCGGTATCTGTCATGTAACCATCATCCATTTTACATGTACCTTGCATGTTGCAATTATTGGGAGCAACATCAGAAATGTATGTGCTGCCACAAGCAATCTTGCTGCTAATGGAAATAATGGAGGAGCTTCTGTTCCCCCTCATCTCGTGTACTTTATCCTCTGCAAGATTATTATTCTCTGTATCAACTTTTCCATCGTTAGTTTCCTTCTTCGTTTTCACCTGCGATGTCCTGCTTTCGTTCGCTTTCTTTTCTCCCTTTTCTTCTGCATTTTCATTTGTTTTTGTTCCTTTTTTTTTTTCATCCCCTTTACCTTTTCTCTGAACTCTTTTCTTTTCCTTTCCGTCTTTTTTGTCCTCCTGTGAGGATTCCTCTTTTTTCATTTTGACCCCTTTTTTTTCCTTTTGTATTTTGGAAGTTTTAGTCGGCTTCAAATCCTTTTCACATATTTCCCCTTTTGTGTCCTTGCTTTTCTTTTCTTTCGCTTTATCCTTACTTTTTTCCTGTTCCTTTTCCTTCTTCTCTTTGTCAATTTCTTTTTTTTCCGCGTTCTTCTTCACCATCTTTGCTGGCTTCTTTTCGGCCTTTTCTACTACTTTCTTTTCGTCTTTTTTTTCTTCACCCTTTTCCACAACCTTCCTTTTGCCTCCTTTTTCGGCCTTTTCATCCTGTTCATTTTTGTCCTTTCCTTTCTTTTTCCTAACATTCTTATTTTGATCTCCATTTTCTGTTGTGCTTTGATCCGTCTTGGTTCTTTCCTTTTTACACTCTTTCGCGTTGCACGCGGAATTGGCTCCCTCCTTTTTCTTGTTCTCCATTTGCTCGCTTACATTGTTATTCAATTCTGCTTCGTTATTACCGCTGTCCAACTGATTGACATTGGCTGCACTCAATCCTTTTACCCCGTTCATGCCGTTAGCTGCATTTTCCTTCTTGATCAAAATATTCTTGCAGTAATACTTGAGTTCCCCTTTCTTACTCCTAACCAGTTCTGCTCCCTTTGTCCCTGCTGCATATGCATTGGTTTGGTCTTTTTGAATGTTATACTTCACCCCCGTGCACACATTTACGTGGATCTCATTTTTGTCATTGTTATTATAAAGAATGCACTCCTTCTTAACCGTTCCTAGTGGGAGGATGCACTTGTGCACATTTTTCACTACATGATCTCCGTTGTTAGAAATATTTTTTGCAATCCCTATGTTGAGCTTATTTTCTTTATGTAATCTGTTGGTCGCAAAGTTGGGGTTCACATTCGGTGCGTCATATACTGCACATAACACATTTCCCCTTTCATTCGCGTAAGCCACGGAGGATGCGTTTACATTACACCTGAATACGCTCGGGTCGAAGCTGCCGCTGCTATGGTTGCTGCCGTATCTATAGTTGTAATTGTAATTTCTTGCGCACACATTTCCACATATGTTCCCCTCCGCAGCCAACTTCTCATTCGTCGGAATGGACTTTTTATTTTTGCTGCTATTTATAAATTTTTCTAGATTGGGGATGTTGGACTTGAGTAGCGTTTTCGTGTGGGTCTGATCTTTCTTGTTGATATTTTTACTATATCCGTTGTACATGTCATTGAATTTATTATTCGGGTTCCTCACTTCAGACGCATGGGAAATATTGCTGTATTTCATATTGTGAAATTCGGAGTTGCTTCTTCCATCTCTGTTAACATCTGACACGTCCTTACTTTGCAAAATGAAGTTGCTGCTATCTTTATACAAAATGGATTGTTCATTACTAGCATTTACATTGACCATTATTTTTCTGTTCAGTTCGAGGCTTTCACCATTTATCTTGCCATTAAACGGTGTAGCATTCATACTAGGCTTAAAATTATGGCTACCATTCCGCAGAGGGGTACAATAAACCAAAGGCATATTCACATTTGCCATTTCGTGGTTCACAGGGGAGTTATTATGATTTCCCAATTGGTTATAAAAATAGTAATTATTTTTGCACATGTTACTTTTGTCATTGTGTATAAACGTGCGGCACACATTTTTTTCCTGTGACATTTCGTTCACTTCATAATCCACTTTTCCTTGTGCATATGCAGTTGTTGGAGGTTGCATGTTCGAATCCTTTACAAATATACTTGGCACATTACTTGGCATATTTCTATCATTGTTCATGTTGCAATTCTTTACATAATGCAAGTTAATCATATCGCTATAACTTCTTCCATGATTCATTCTGTCTACATTTTTTTGATTGTTCATGTGCACGCTGCATGATTTAATATTATCGTTGTAGTGGTAAGCCTGTCCTGCGTCTTTCGCGTAGGTGGTTTTGCAAAATGGGTGGGTCATTTCGTTTATGTTGTTAATATGCCCTATGGGGTTCTCACCGAACAAGGTTCCTCCTGAGCGAATGGCACTATCGGGGTTGTTCATCCCTTTATCTGTTATGACACCGTTGACGTCTTGCATACCACCCACGTTGTTTATGACCCCGATGGTCTTTCCCATTGCTCCCACATTTATCACGTTGCCTATGCCACTCATCGTGTTAGTGGCGCGCGTGTTCCCCAAGTGGGCATAGTTCACAAAGGGTTCCTTTGTTCCCTCCACGCCGTTCACATTTATTATCACATTGTTATTATTGAATATGCTAATATTCTGCGTGATATTTATATCTTTCACGTTGGAGGCGTTATCCACGAAGTCACTCATGTTGGATGTGTTGACATTGTTCTTCATACTAATTAGGTTGTATATGTTGCTTCCTACATCTACGCTTACATTCTGGAGCGTGACACTGCTGCTTCTGCAGGGGATTTCTCCGTTGAAAGTGTTGGCCTTGTTAACACTGCTTATGCCATTTATATTATGCAAGCTGTTCAGGCCAACCCCGGCGCTCACCCCGCTTATACTGCTCGTGTTGTTCACCATGAGGACGTTGCTGTAATTGCTTACACTGCCCATGGGTGAGCTCACGGTCCTACCGTGCATAGAACCCAGATCGTCTACGTTCGAGCTACAAGCGGAGAAAGTGCTTACAGTGTTCACATTCATCTTCAAATTGTTCGTTTTATCAAAATTGATTATTTTCCTGACAGGGCTACAATTCATATTGGGTGCACTGTATCCACAGTTGTTATTTTTCCTTGTGGGGGAGGTCAACTTTTCGATGTTCTTTTCGTTAAATGTGCAGCCAATGTTGTTTATGCTCTTGTTCATGTACGTGCCGTTTTTGTTGTTCCTGCTGGTCAGGTTCAGTACTTTGGGAGTGGCATGTTCGCCAAGGTCGCCTAACTCTGCCGTGGCGCCAGCAACGTTTACATCATCCGCGTTCGTCACGTCCATAAAGTTGGCAACACTGTTCCCATTATGCGCCGTATCGAAATTGTTAACCCCATTCACGCTGCTACAGAGCTTCATTTCATACGTGCCAAATGTGTGGAGGTCAATCTGGCCAGTTTTATTATTCTCGGTGCAAGGCACAGAATAGGGCGGAGTCCCGAATGCATTATCGCCATTTGTTGCAAGTAGCAGTGTGTCATTGTTTTTGTTCACCTGATTTCTGACCTGCACGCTACAGGGATAGTTTCCTTTAAAATATTCACTTCTAGTATGGCTCATGGTGCGTTCACATGGATTATCATTAAATGCGTTTTTTGTACAACATGCGCTACTCCTCCTGCTTCGGGGTTTCCCATTTGATGCCTTCCTATTCACAGGCACAGAAAAGGTCTCCAAAATTAAGGCGCTAATTTTTAGCAACATTTCTGAAATTTTCATATAGTCATTATTATCAGTAATAAGATTCTTCTTATCAAACAGGTGGTGTTTTTCCTTTTTAGATTTATCCACATGATCCATCTTCACAACGCTGTTAAAATTTTTGTTCAATCTGTAGTGATTCAATTCCTTGTTAAGGTAACTGTATAGCCCTTTCAAAATTTCGTTGAGTACGGAATACATCACAGCTTCGTCAATATTGGGAACAAATAAATGCAATAAGTTTTTCACTTTTACATTTTTCTTCTGCCTTATTAAATCGTATATCTCACTTATGAGGTTTTTATTATACACCTTTCTATTTATAACTACAGTTTCGGCGTGTGTTTCAGCTTTTTTCCCATCTGTTAAAAATTCCTTCACAAACTCATCACTCGGAATGACGCCATTATTGTTGACTTCATTATTCAGTAGACAGTTTTCGCTTGTGTTAGTTTCGTTCGGTTTAAGTAGAGTTACATTGCTGCTCAGGATGGAACATTCAACATTGCTGTTAATATTAATGATGGTCGATTGGGTAGTGCATTCATCTCCGCTGTTTCTATTCACAGTGCATTTCACACTCGTGTGGATATCCTCACTAACGATATGACTGTTGCTGAGGTCTCCCCCTAATTTATCTTTCTTCGGTGTGTTCGATTTAATGGGGGGTGGAACCATCACCATCATCGCCGCAGCGCTCGTTGTCTCTGTAGTGCTTGTCGGCGTGTCATTATCTTGCGATACGAATGATGTGATCAAGTTGTTCCTATCTACTGCGTTTGACTCCTCCCCAATTTGATCACTTTTCATCGGTGTGTTATTTTTGCTCATTGATAAGGTCGCCTCGTTGAAGGTTCTATGCAAAATACACCCCTGTCGGGGCACATAATGGCCCGAGTTTGAGGTATATAACCCTTTCTCTGATTTTCCAGGCGAACCCATTTTTTTACTATGATGCTTTTTTACGCAGAACTTTTTGAATATACTCCTTACACCCTTTTTATGCACATCGTGGTCGTTCTTATCGCCACTGTCCCCGCTATTATCTATTCGATAAAAACATTCATTGTGTGCAGATTTTCCGCAGCAGAAGCACTTTATTATCTTTTGCGTCTGATCATGTACACTCAGTATGGTGATAATATTATTTGGGGCACTTTGGTCCATCTTTTCATTTTCTTCATTTTTTTTACTAATACTTGTTCTTTTCTTGGGCGACGTTTTTTTCTTTTTTGGTGATAACTCTATTTCGCTATTCGTTTGGATATTTTTGGATTCATCTCTGACATCAGCGATGGTGCAAGTGGTACTTGGGTCTCCTATCTGACCTTTCAAATGGCTGTCCACGTCGATGCTGTTTTGCTTCTTCATCTTTTTTGAGCTCATGTGTGAGTTATTATTACCCAGTTGGTTCCTGTGCCTATCCTGCTGACGATTATCATTCATGTTTTGGTTGTCCATTGTGGCCATGGCGGGTTCAGTGTTTACAGAGCAGCTTTCCCGTCTTTCCGTGGTTTCCACTAGTTTCACATTTGCAAACTCACAGGACTGTTGTATGCTCCTTTGTTCACTTTTTGGACTTTCATTCAATTCGCTAATCATGGGAGATGCTACCTCCCCTTTTTCACCAAATTCCAGAGCTTCGCTATCCGTCAACATTTTTCTCTTCTGTGTGTTTTTATCATTCTTCAGAGTCATAACCTCTATCTTCAAATTGTACAAATAATTGAATGTTGCTTCTTTCGTAAAATGGTTTCCACTCCACGTATCCATACAGGTGATATTCGAGTAGAAGGTATCCTTAATGGCGTCGCTAAAGTGGGTATTGCATTTTTCACACTTAATGCATTGATTACATTTAAAGTTCCTCGTAATTACGTTAAAAATATGATTTATCTCCTTCCTGTGTTCTACATAACCAGCCAAGTTAAACAAAAAGGGGTTGGAAATATTAACACAGGTGTAGTGAAAGGACACCCCACATACACCGCAGTAAACCAGTGGACCCTTATACTCTATGCATCCGCAAAAATGACAGTAGTCTTTCAAAATATCATTGTTGAAAAGTTGTATTTTTTTATTTGTCACGTGTTTCCCCATGGGGTTTCTTCTAACGGGATGACAATTAGGGGCGTTTCTCCTATTTGTATTGTGGCACCACTTTTTTGATCCCCCTTTGGCAGTTCTTCCCTCCATATGAGAAATGATATCATCGAGGGATATAGCCCCCCCTTTTTTGTTCCTATCAACATGTTCCACTGCTATATCATCCGTACTGTCATTATCGCTACTGCTGTAGTTAACGAGGTTTGTAACATAGTTCATTCTTACAGATGACACATTTTTCGATGAGGTATATTCATTTGGACCCTGCTGGCCAAAAAAAACAATCTGAATACACTTCAGGAATTTGTAGGCATTGTTCACTGGGTTGACAATCTTGGTCTCCTCCTTAAGGACGTTATTCATTTTTATTTTGTCCTTCTTGATGTCAATCATGAATATGTTATCATTAATAAATACGTTTGAATTGCCACGATTGGAATGTATCTTCTTTTCCCCCTTTGCATCCTCCTTTGTTGACGTACTATGAGGGTGATTATCTACAAGGGGAATTTTCTCTTCATTACTGCTCTGGTAGTAACCCTTTTGGACATTTCCCTCGGAAGACAATTCATCCTTATCTGATCTTCTACAGCTAGAGGAAAAACTTCCCCCAGTCAAAACATGTATCTTCCTTATCTTACAAACGTCAAATTCGTCAAATCTGTCAAAAGATCTGTTAAAATAAATTTTACCCTTCACATTAACGGTAAGGATGTTATAACTGGTTATGCCACAATTTTGCGGAACAAACATTTCTTTATTGTTGTGGATAAAAACACAGTCGCGTTTAAAATTGAACAGTTCGTGTAACTCATACTGCGTGATGTCCCTGTCTAGCATCTCCAATTTTCTCTTCCTAAGCAAGTTATTGTTTAAAAGGCTCTTACCCACATTGTTGTTACACAAGTTGTATAAAACGATATCATCCTTACTTGTGGGCATATCCACAGCATTCTTATCGTACATTCCCATGAGGTTCTTCTTTTCCATTGAAGTGTAATCATTATATAAATCGGTCCCGTTCATGTATAACTGCATGTTTGTGCCAGTCTTTGCAATACCACTTTGAAATGAACCATCTGCGTTGAGAAAACTATTTGATTGATATGTCCTATCGTTGGGGTTATTCATGCAACCGGGTACCATGTGCACCCCTTCCTGCATACTATGATCATTAACGAGTGAGCTTCCCCCAAAGTTCAGTGCAGCTGCATCTCGATATTTATTTCCCCACTTAAGGGTGGTATCACCATCTTGGTGCGGGTAGAAGCCCGATTTGGTAAACTCGCCCACAGTAGGCACCACCTCTTTGCCAATTCCAGGGTAGCCAAAATGTTTCATATTTTCAGAGTGGTAAGAATCAAAAGCAGCATTCCTATTATCCATATGATTGTCGAAATTCTTGCCAAGTATATCGTCCCTACTACTGTTACAGAGGGTAGCGGTTAGTTTATGCCCACCGGATTTCAACATACCCTCGTAATTTTTACTCTCCTCTTCCATTTTGTTATTATCATTGGCTACCTCTTCATTTGTGGCCTTTTTATAAGTCAGTAGGCAATCATCAATGAATTTGTTGAGCTCCTCATGCTCCAAATTGAACATATTCTTTATAATAATTTTTCCTTTCTTTTCAAAGATGCAGGCATTTTTATAAATTGGGGTGTTGGGCATATGCACGGTTTTGGCATTATGTATGATCAGGAAAAAGTCGTAGAGGAATTCCAATATGGTGTTGTATTTCTTCTCCCATATTTTTTTCTTCATAATGTAAAGGTTCATTGGTATTTTGACAATTCTCCAGTAGATGTAAAAGTTGATAGGTACGTGGAAGGTGAAATTTTTGTACTTATCGAGCAGGAAGAATAGGTAAAGAATTCGCTCGATTTTATCATGGAATGAACCCGACCTACATGTGGGGCACTTATAATTGATACTTTTTATGGACAATGTTTCAATATTTCTACTTTCATTTTTATCACAACTTAGGTGAATCCAAAATTTGCACACATCACATTGCACCCACTTGTTACTATCATCTATTTCGTACTTCTGATTGCACATGATGCAAAAGTTTTTCTTCTCATATTCTTTGTAGCAGCTGATGCAGCAGTCCAGGTGAAACTCCCACTCGTTGTAGTTAATGAAGCACAAATTGGAGTAATCACATTTGTTGCATTTCAGGCATTCGTCGCATTTCCAATTAAAGACGTAAATGTCGGGCACATTAGGGAAACAACAAGATCCGTGGGCAACCATGTTACACGTTTTGCATATAACATAATTGGCTATATTGGGCGTCTGCTTATAATTGTATATACTCTCACAACAATATATGCATCGATAGCAGTCTTTACACACATATTTTTTGTAATTCATGTCACTGTACTTCACAGCTGGAACGTAATTAATGCACCTCCTGGACCTTTTACTTTTCGATTTTGTGCAGTTGTTTGTTTCTTCCACATCACTGTCTTCTTCATCATTCAACTCATCGCTTTTGTTTTTGTCCTCTTTGTCGTCACTCTTATAATCATTTTCACTGTAATTATTTTTAGCGTTTTCCTTTTCGCTGGTGCATTCCTTGCCTCCTTTCTTTTTCTTGCTCCTGTTGTTCTTTTCATCCGCGTCATTATTTTCCTCCTTCACCAGATTGTTCGACGAATGCTCCGCGCGCTTGCTGCACCCGTTCTTGCTATTCCCGGTGGTTCTTTTCCCATTGGCACTTTTTTTATTTTGGTTCGACTTAGAGTCTCCCCCTCTTCCGATGCATTTCGAATCGCTAAAGTGGTTGGTGTTCTTCTTCACCCTTTTCGATTTTTCGTCCTTGCTGCCACTCCTCGCGCCCTTACCCTTATCACGCTTCAAGGATTTATTATCCTTCTTCAAGCTGTTCTTATAAATGTACTTTTTATACTCCTTCATTAGCACATTTTTGTCATACCCCTTAGTGATTATCACTTCTTCGTCGAGGCATTCGGCGTGGAATTTCTTCGAACAGATAAAACACTTAACGCCCCAGTACAGGTTGATCATATTTGTCTCATCAATTTCCTTTTTCTTCACTTCGCTGCTTAAGTCATATATCATGGTGGAGAGGCTGCTCGTGTAATGATCATGCCCCTTAATAAATAGAATGTTATTCTTACATATGGAACATTCGTCTTTTTTGTTCAACAGGCTGTAATCGATTTGCTCTTTCCTTTTGTCATTTTTATCAAATATATCAAAGCGCTCAAATTCCTTCACAGTCTTTAGCACCTTTATGTTGTAGAAGTGGGGGGAATACCACCCTTTCACATCTGAGTATATAAAATCGCATTTCTTCTTTCCATTTTCTTCATCTAGCTTTGTCTCATAATTGAGGTACATCATTTCTTCTTTCCTTTGGACTATGCACTGATTGTTCTGATTCACCATCTCTACACCTAGCCCTTCTTCGTTCTTCCTCTCGCTGATCTGTTTCCTCATGTCCTGGTCGATCTCACCATATTGTGCATGTTCTAGGTCGGCCAAAGTGTGATACTCTTTCGAATTGTTGTACAACGATGGGGAGGTGGTCCTTGATTTGCTTCCTCCTCTTGAGTATGCCATGTCCCTGTTGGTTCTCTTCGGCGAATCCGTCATGGATCCGCTGTATTTGAAATTTTCTATATGGTGAATAAAAAACTGCTTATATTTGGGGGAGTAATACTTTATAATGCCTGTCTTGAAGTTACATTTCTTTTTGTTGTCCTTCTTTAGATCAAAACTAACGCGATAACCAATATATTTAAATCCCTTTTCTTCATCCTTCAATTCGATATATTTGTTGGCTGCATCCGCTTCTACTTTATTACCCACCTTTTTCTTTTTCAGTCGATCCAACTTATTCTCGAACAGGTGCATCATCCCATTCTCCCCTTCGTACTGTACGTTGTAGTTATCAATGGATTCTTCAATTATGCAGTTAAAAAACTTGGGTCTCCTAAAAAGCACATCCTCATCATCCATGACAAGATTCTCCAGAAATAACGTTTTCTCCACTTTTTTTAAAAGCCTCCATTTCTTCTTCGTATTATTATTATGGGCATCTAGGAAGAATTTGGTTTTCTCCTCCGATCCCTTAACCATCTTTATTATATCCACAATTTTGTTAACATTAAAATAAAATTTGTTCTTGTCATTGTATATGATTCCTGTGTAATTGTGTTCTTCCTGTTCTTTTTTGGAGGCTTCGTTTTCAATTTTCACCTTCACGTGGGTTCTTTTTTTGTTTTTTCGATTATTCACATTTTTGGATAATTCCTTTGGCTTTTTCTTCACAGAGGAATCATTACTATTTTTTTTGTTCTTCACATCAGCGTTCCCTTTTTTGTCCTTTGTATTTCCTTTGGCAATTCCTTTGGCATTTGTCTTGACATTTATGTTGGCATTTGTCTTAACATTTCCCTTGGCGTTTATCTGTACATTCCCCTTGGGGAGTGTTTCATTAGAAGAAGGTTCCTCCTTCACTTGGGTGTTTTTTCTTCTACTTCTGTTTGTTCCCTTGGTGGGGTTCTCCTTATCGGTATTTGTTGCTCCTTTCTTTAACTTCCTACTTGCACCATTACTTACATTGTCGCAGTTGTCGCTTGAGTTGTTCACGGCGCGTATCTCCTCAGCTTCGTTATCGCTACACTTATTGCCTTTACTTCCATCACCATCGCTCTTGTTGCTCCCTTCAGGCGCGTTTCTCTGCGCACCAATAGCCGCCACATCCTGTGTACCTTCTTTTATTTCTCCCTTACGGTGGCCCCCTCCGTTCTGTCCTGCGTCTTGCGAATGATTCCCGTTTAGGGGCTCATCCGCCGACTGATTAAGTGTCTTTTTACTCAAATAGTCTTTATCCAGAGCGTTTGCTTCTTTAGCGGCCGAGGATGCATTATCCTCAGCTGCACTGTGAAACTCAACCGATTCACAATTTTCCGTTTTCACATTAACATTCGCGTCCTCCGCATCGGAAAATATTATGTCGCTCATTTTTTTAATTTTTTTTAAATTCTTTAAGCTAAACACCTTTAAGAACTTCACAGCGTAAAGCTTCGAACCATTTCTTACATAAAAGGGGTCGCTAATAATTTTGACATTTTTATCGTGCAAAATAACATCCTGAATGGCTATCACCTGAAGAATATTTTTTTCCAATTTGTCGTTATTCAAAATTAAAATGCGAAAGAAGGAATCTTTAACAATTTTGTAAGTTAGAAAATACTTTTTTCTCTTATTTGTAACAATCTTTCCAATTCTTAAATGCACATCGTTGTAGAAACTTTCAAATATGTCCTCATCATATTTGAAGAAATTTTTTCCCGTTATTTTGAGTTCTTTACATGGTCCCTCTGCCATTTGGTTTTGTTCTTTCCCTAATGCGGAATCAGTGAGGGGTTGATTGACCTGTTTATTAGTTTCGACAAACACGTTTGTTGCTAGCGGTTCATTGTCTGGGTTATTCTCTTTTATTTCCTCTTCATATTCATTCGTTAATTGTGGTCTTGACTCTTGCGCGGTCTGTTCCCCCTCAGCTGTCCTGTCTGGTGGTTCTATATCCACTTCGTGCGAATTGCCCTGCACAACGTTTGGATGTGAATCTGCTTTCTCTTCAAGAGGGGCATTATATCCCTTGGGGCTTCGCCCTTCCTTCACTGGAGTAATAATTTTATTTGGTTCTTCGCTTAAGCGGTGTGCGCCTACTACATCGCTCTTTTTTGTTTGGGCGCCTTTTTTTTTCTTCTCAAGACATTTTCTATTTCTTGTAAAATGAAAGTAAATTTTTTTTCTCTTCTGAATATTCCTTAATGTTAAGTTGTAATTTTGGTAAGGAAGACAATTCGCCCTCGTTCTGAAGCGCGAATTCTTTCCTTGGTTAATTTCACTTCCTCCTTTTCTCTTCTTATGTGTACAAAAAAATGAGTCATACAATTGGGAAGAATTGGGAAATACCATTTTATTTTCCCTATCATTGCATTGATATTTTTTAACACATTTATCATACAAGAGGATGTTATATGGACTTTTAGTTTTCCCCTTTCTTTTTGGAGGGGAGCAAATTACATATGTGTCGGAATAGGAATTCCTTTCACAACTTGTTTCGCAGTTGCAAAAACAACTGTACATTTTATTATCACTATGATTGGAAAAATGTATTCTTTTAATCTTCGTTTTACAATCATGATGATTAGTTATGCCATGCGGTGATGACAAGTGCTTTGGGAAATTACTACTCACACTTGTTTTATTAAAATTTAAATTTTGTAAATATTTACAACTAAAAAAACTGCTCCTTTTGGAGTTATCAATATCTGAATGGTAATTTTTCCCGTCACTGTGTAAACTTTTTAAAAATATATTTTTCCTATATTTTTGTATCTCAAATGTATCATCTGCAACACTGCTAAGCATTTGCTTCTTTATCTGTAGTGCCTTCGGCGAGAGAGTCTTATTTATTCGGTTGTCATTTAGAAAGTCACTGTATGTTGCAATACTGCTTCGTTCTCTTCTTCCCCTTTGGATGAGGAACTTTTTACGATTGTGATGCAGATCAAGAGGAAGCCTGTGCCTTTTGGTGTGGCCCATCTCGTCCGCTTCTAATTTAGGGAGTTTCTCCTTTTCTATTGCTATATCAGCTATTTCAGGGTTCTCTACATTCACTCTACCCTTTTGATCGTCACAACTGCGTCCCTTGTCTTTGCTTCTGTTAGTGCCATTAGTCCTATGGCTATCGTTGCTGATCTTTCTGCTTTCCCCGTTATCGCTCATGCTATTGTTGTAACGGGTGTGCATTGAATTGTCATTCATGGAACCCTTGATGTCTGATATTGAGAAATCCGTCTTGTTATCACTTAAAAAATTCTTTTTGCACATTTGCAAATCGTCTGGCACATTATTGTGACATATTTTGTGGCCATCACTGCCGCCTTCGTTAACGGTACATATATTTTTGTAGCTAATCAATTCGTACAAATCATCTTTCACATTAGAAGTTGCTTCATTCTCATTTGTCCACTTCTCACTTGCGCAGTCTTCATTTTTTTCAATACTACGGAATTCGTTATTTACCTGAACGCTTTCGTCATCATGTATACCTTCTGATTCATCTTCATGTTCTTGTCTTTCCTTTTTCATTTTACCTTCTTCACTTGGTGATTCATTCATATTTTGTTGTTTTTCTTTGTTTAGTCTTTTTGAAAAAATACACTCTTTTTTTTTCTTGTATTTGGAAGATTTTCATATTACATTGTGGAAATTGCCTTCTTGAAATATGTACTGCTACTTATTACCATGTATTCGCTATGTATATTGCTACCAATGAATGTAAAGTCTTACAGACTTTTTACACATACAAGCATGTACACGTACACTCAGCGCGTGTGAAGAGGGGCTACCATATATGTGTACACGCACATAACATACCAACATACATACGTACGTTCATATGTATATATATTATTTATACGTGAATACACGCATCATGTGTACGGACCATGCAAAACGAAATGTACAGTTCATACAATCGAGCACAACGCAAAACCCGAGCGGGTGGCTTCTTAAACACTCGTCATTGCGCAAACATGTAAAAAAAAAAATAAAATAAGCAAGAACTGTTTTTCTTTCCGTTTATTATTTCCCTTCAAACAAATGACATAAATGTGATAAAAATTGTCAAATGGTTCTCAAATGGGGTGAAAGTGTACATGCATATGAACATAAAAAAAATGCTCGCAGTAGATCTAAAGATATAAGCATGTACATTAAAACATGTACATTAAACATGTACATTTAAAAAAACAAAAAAGAACAGAAAAAGGGAAAAAAAACGAGACTTGAAAAAAATATGTAAAAGGCCTTCAGTTTTATATAAATATACTTCATAAAAAAAAAAAAAAAAAAAACACCTTGTATATAAGGGCATTGCTTGTGCGATTTTATAACACTCATTTTAAATTAATTCAGTACAATAATTTGAAAAAAATATTTCTGATATAAGGGAACATTTAGCCAACTAAAAATTCCCTTTCCCATATTACGCGTGTGAGTATGTACATACGGCAATATATATCACGTACATATTTATATATGCATAATACATATATGTAACATAGCAGCATCCATCCATGTATATACTTAATACAGCCCTTGTATAGTGCGCGTATTTCCACCCGTGTATGAAAGGAATATGCTCCCAAGTCAAGCCTGTGCACTCGATTAATGCATACACGTCACACGCATATAAGTTTATATACAAAAAAGCACAGTTTATATGTTTATATTATTTAAACATTTTTTACACGTAGGTCCGATCTAGGTGTAGCACCCATCTCTCATCCATGTATGCCATGAAAGAATCACAAGAAAGCTTTCATTCGATGCAGTGACTATACCTGCGTCCGATAACGTATGCAGTCGTGCTTAGTGTGAAAACAATGCACACTAGAATAAATTAAGTATTTTTTAGCATTTGTTTAAGGGAATAAACATTTTCACCCGGAATCAACAAACAGAATATGTGTTTTGTTATTCTATTGTGCACATTATATGTATATACCTATGGTGTATTTGCATTTATGTGCATACGTTAACTGCAACCAGAAAGAACTGGTTTTGTGCCTTTTCAGCAAAACCCAGATTTAAGCATCAATGTGTAAAAAATAGCAATGGCTTTTTCCTTTTTCCCAAGTTCAAAAATGAAACAAAATAATTAAAGCCGAATAAAATATACCAGAACAATACAAAGCATAACACAGCAAGATGTAACAAAAATAATGGGAGGAAATGTTAATAAGCCCAAATTTAAAAACGTTAATTCTCGTTCAGGGGCACATTTAGTATATATAACCACTTTTTCTAATATAATTTTTCCTTTTTTTTTCCCATTTTTGTGATTTTATAACTTATTCCACGGGGTGTGAAAAATTGTGCTAACATATTGTATAGTTTGCACATCGTTATAGTGTTTGATTCCATTTGAACGTTTTTTTACTTTTTCCCCTTTTAAGAAGTTCTCCCAAATGTATCATTTATTATTCTAAAACAAACGGCTGTTTAAGTTCTGCATTTATTGTGCTAAACGAATGCGGCAGATCCCAATTGTCATCAATGCGGGTTTATAAACATTTGGAACGCCTTCCTTTTATTTGTCCCATTTGGCAGCATTACTTCGTGGCTTTAGAAAGAATGGAACCTTAGAGGTAAACATTAACCTAATGACAGTCAAATGGTTGCATAGATGTGCGCCCGAGGTGATACAAACAACACGTATGTCATATGTGTATTTATTTGCGTATTATGTAGACCGACGCCAATGCAGAAATGCTCAGTGCCTATAACCCACACTATGCACAAATTTTCGCACAAAGTGTCTAAACCGTTTCGGCCCCATATGCACGTTATGTTCGCTGGCTAACGCGTGTTACACGTTGCGCATATTTTCATGTCTTAGACAATTAGAATAATAAAGCTTTATTAACATTCCGGGTGTGGATACCCCCTTACAGATATACCACACTGTGTGAATGTTTCATTTTAAAATGTTGTCAAAATTGTCACCTTGTGAAGTATGCGCTGAAACATAGGTGATTATGCACATATTGTTCATCCTTCCCCCTAACTTGTAGCATTAACCATCTTTTATCGCTTTTACAAATTGGGCAAATTACCAAAATGATGATGTCTTCAAAGAAGGACATCTTTAAAAATGACTGAATAATAATAAACAAAATTTTGATAGTTTTATAAACAAAAAAAAAAATAAAATGAAATAACAAACAACCATTTTATGGCATAATCTTATCATCGAAAAAAGGCAAACGAATTTTTGTGTGCAAACGAGGTTATAAAAAATGGGGCATTTTTCACAACATAACATGTATTTAAAAAGTGTTATAATTTTTTTTCTCCATTTTTGTTTAGTCGAATTGAGCTTTCCATTACAAATTTTTTTTACAACATTTTTTACAAATCACGTTGGTGCACTTTGCACAAACTTTTTTTTGTTTTCCTTCGAAGGCGTCATTGCATATTCACACATTAATGGCGCGTTCTGTGATCCACATGGGTTAACGCAAATTCGTCATTCCCATCGTCCTGCCTGACACATTTTCAGACTTAACTTTTCTTTTGCTTATTTTTCTTTTTCATCAAAATGTCGCCAGCGTTTCTTATGCTCTCCTTTTTTTGAAAAAGGTAAAAGTTCTCATGAATTTTGGTTTTCCTTTCCCTTTTTAAATAACTGAATTTATCATTTGTTGACACGAAAACTGAGTTGATGAATTCAGGTTTGTCCGCAACCCTTTGAACGACGGTAAATCCATCCTCGTCTACAAGGCCTAATTTTTTCTTCCCTTTATTATTTTCTTTATTTATTTGTGAAATTTCGTTTATAATTATCTTCCTCTCATTATATAAGTCATAATAAGTTTCATAATACTGTTTTATGTAATACGAGAATTTTTTTTGTTCCAAATTTATAAAGTATGGTGATTGCACACTGCTTTTAAAATAATTATCCATCTGAATTGAGTACGTCAAAATAATTTCAACAACATTCTTTTCTCGATATGTTATATACGCACAATAGGCAAATTTTTTAAAATTTTTCGATAAATGCTTTTTCTCTATAACGACAAAAGAGTTTATTTTTCCAAAATTGGAAAAAAACTTCTTTAAATCTTCTTCGCTCACGATGTTATCCAGTGCCGCTGCACACAGTGCATCGCTCTGCCCGTTGTCATAGTCTGAAATATCTTTGCAGTTAGCTACAAACAGCTGTGAAGGGGTGAAATGAAAGCGTGGTGCCCATAAGCAATTGACAGCGTCATTATATACGCATTATATATGTACGTATAAATATACTTCACGCAGCAGACATGTACTTGCGAACTTTTTTTCGTTTAATAAGACATTTACGCTACAATTTGGCAAAAAACCCTCAATTGGCACTCTAAGTGGTGTTATTTCCACGTGGGATGGACAAAGAATACACATACATGTAACATTCTTTTCAATCATTTAAGCTCTTACATTTATGGTTGTAAGGGGGTTATCCTCCACAGGTATGTTCAAAATAAGGAAGTGGCCCAAAATGTTCTTCATTTTTGCGAATTAAAACCAAATTTTTAAAAAAGGAAGAGAAAAGGACACAAAAGGGCAAGCATTATTTGTACATGTACATGCACATGTACGTACCAGTTAACAAAAAAGCTGCTATTTTTACCTAAAGTTCCTTTTCCCCATTTTCTGCAAATGCGCCATCCAACAACGTGTCAATTTTGTTGCAAAACTGGATGGAGCTTTTCTCCCTCTTGCTTTATTATTATTTTTTTTTATTCTTCGTTTCTTGGCGCAAGAGGGGCAGAATTTTCAAAGTAATTTAAAATATATAAAAGGCTACATTTTCTTGAAAATTATGTAAAATACAGGATTAAAAAAAAGCAGCAACATGAAAATTAGTTCCACAAGCTACCGCGGAAAACAAAAGGCGGAAAAAAAAAAACTGTTATTTTTATTAAAAAAAATACATAAACAGAAAGGCATCATAACGGGCATTATAAATCCACCGCATGAAATATATATTTATCTTGTAGAATATATATATAATATATGTATATCCAAAACAGAACAACCGTGTCGCCAATTTCTAAATCGTCAACTGGAGGTCAAGCACGGCGTGAAGGATAATGCTTCAGTTTTTGTGCCATGAAACGGTTATATTCGAACAAGATTTCACCCTTGGCCTGTTCTGCACCTTTTTTTCTTGTTTTTTTTTTTTTTTTAATTTGCCATAAAAATAAAAAGTAACGCATGCTACGTTGCCCATTAAAAAATGTTACGCCTATAGTTTACGCACAGACGAACCACAATATGTCCCCTTCGTTTCACTGCGAAGTTGAAGAACTAATATTAAAATTATAAGGTTTTTCCCCAAGGGCACTTGCTACAAATATGATGTTTCTGCTGCCTTTGTTGCTGTTATGGTATGGTGAACAAAATTCGATTTTTTTTCCTCTTTGACGTTCCTGCAACAAAATTATGGTTACATGCATACATAAGGTATACGCCACTGTTACGTTATGGTACCAACAAGCCCGCGTTAGCATTTATGTGATTTAATTTTGCCCTCCCTTGTTTTTGCTCCGCTCATTTGTACAAAAGTCCCCCTTTTTTGACATGGCCTAAAAGCTGCATTCGTAATTTTTGCGTTATGAAATATCCCCCAATCTTTGTATCTACCACCCATCTGTTTATTTCAAACCTGAACGGTATTTTTGACTATATGTTTATTATTGATGTTTAAATGTACATGCGTACATGTTATTAGTGCTAAGCCAAAAGGGACTTCGAACTACTTTAACCTGACTACCATTCCTACATCCTCCATTTAGTTTGTATTTAAATGTAATTTCCGTTTTGCTTTCCATATGAACAGTTTGTAATTTATATACTATTAATATTACGATTCTGTATTTTTTATTTTTACATATATGCTTTTTATTTATTATTAAATCTCCGCGTTAGTGATAAGGTTGTTTTATGTGACCTACAATAGGGCCACAGTTTTAAATAAGTTTACGTGGCCATCTCCGAGCTCTTATTATCCCCTTCCTTCTGTCCTCCCGGTGGACAAGTACACCCCATAGTATCAAGTGGCAGGTAATTGCCGTGCATGCCCATCGGCGAGACCGCATGGATGACCGATTTCCTTAGTGGACTGCTTAGCTGGTTGCATATCCCTGTGCAGCACGATGCTCCAAAAAAAATAGCAGCAACGAGCGAAAATGGAGCACAAAAAGTGCCCATGTGGCAATGTGGCAAAGTGCTAAACGAAGAATTAGGCGAGAACAGCTGCTACTGTTGTGAGCACCCCCCCCGCTGCTGTCTCGAACGCTTATGCTTGTTCTTATGCTTATATTAACGGTGCAACCACTCCACTCTCCACACCATTTCTTCTCCCCGTGCAGTTTTCCTATTTTTATAAAATGAATGAAAATGGAATAAAAGAAAATAAAAACAATTCTAAAAAAGGTGAGAAGCGCTCCAAGAAAGGAACCCCCCAAAAGGCGGGCAGCAAAGATGATCAAACAAAATCAGACCCTGCAGGTGCCCCAAGCGAAAAAGTGAATAGCGCAAATGCGCACGATGCTAATGAAGCAAAGGATAACAGCGCGCAAACTTCAGGCAAAAAAAATATGAGTAACCTATTTTCATGGAAAAAAAAAAAAAACAAACAGAAGCATTCTGAAAATAAAATGGGGGAAAACAACTCCGATATGCAAGGGAACAACTTGCAAACAAGCCCATATGTCAACTTGGGCGATGATGATATGGATCAGAAGGCAGATGGCGATGGTTACTATGACCAGGATAACAATAATGATGTAAACGATGTGCAAAAGAATTACGAAGAAAGGAATGCAAATGAAAATTATGATAATGAAAATAGTACCATTGTTGATATGGGTGAAAATGAACAGAATTCAGAAGGTGCAGGAGAAAAAGAAAGGAAAAAAAATTGGAAGAGAAGAACATTTAGTCGTTTCACCCCTGGGGGTGTACGCTCAAGCACAGTTCTGTTTATATGTACAGCTATAGGTGTCGGTTTTCTGTCCATACCATATGTTTTTTCAAAGCTCGGGATAATATTAAGTTTAATGTTGATACTTCTAAACGCCGTGGAATCCTACGTCACAACGAACATCCTATGTTTGTCATCCCTGGAGCATAACACATTTGTATATGGAAATTTGCTAAAAAAAATAGGACATAAGTACCACAAAACTATCATCGACATTGGGCTAACGTTTGGTTTTCTTTCCAGTTATATTTTGATCTTGATACTAATAAGTAATTTTTTAAGTTGTATACTCTACGTTTTTAATTTCCCAGCCTTATTATGTAACCACACCTTTTTGATTATTCTAGTGTGTGCACTGATAGTACCTATAACCTTTCGCGACGAAGTGGGCTCTCTGGACAACTTTTTGACGTTTTCCTTATTCTCGCTAAGCATAACAGTATTAACGATAGGATGGCAGGCACGAGACTACTACACCCAATTGATTAACAAGGATATAGTTCTATTCAACATGAATAAGCATTTTTTCAAATGTTTCAATATTTTGTTGTTTTCCTTTTCACAACAACCAAATGCATGTTTTATAACTGGACAGTTTAATCAGCCGACGCACAGAAGATTAACAAAATCAGCATACAGAAGTGTTTTGTTGCAAATTATTTTTTACACTCTTCTTGGACTTTTAGGATATTTGTCTTTCCTGACAACGACCAAGGATAACATCATATTGAATTATGAAGACACAAATGTATCCATACTCTTGTGTAAATTTCTCCTATCTATAACATTCTTTTTTTCCGTTCCGTTAAATTTCATGGGATCCTATTCCAGCTTACTATCCTTGTACTTATCCGCTCGCAATATGTTCCTTAAATTTTATGTGTATGTGTCCAGAAGAAATAGGTACATAGCTAATTTATCCACCTTCTTACGCGAAAATGAGGTCAATCTGCTTGAGGAAAATGCCCTTGATAATTTAACAGAAAATTCGAGCACTACGGAATCGCTAGCTGAGGACAAAAACCAGAGAAAAATCATCTCCATTTCTGTCACCATTCTCTGTGCCCTTATTGCATTTAATGTTAAAAAGTTATCCAACGTTATTGGTATAGGAGGAGGAATCACATCTACGCTCATATCCTGGTAAGCATGCCCAAACCATATGTGCAATATAAAAAGAGGGAAAAAAAAAACCGTGCTGCCAATTCTGGTTGTCACCTCTCACATGTGTATTTTTCTATGCCCTCTGTTAGTGTTGCATCCGTACCTTCAGCTGTCAGTCATATTTTTACCATGTCACCTTTTTTTTTTTTTTCCCCTCCACCCCCTTTTAGCCTTTTACCCAATTTGATTTACCTTAAAAATATGCACAATGTGAAGAACAAGCTAGAACGATATGCAACCCTCTGTATGTTATGCTTTTTCTCCTTCATGGGTTTTTTTTCTGTCATTATTACTGCGCTAAATTTAATTTTTTAGAGAAGACCACAGCGGACTTCGCCCCGAAGGCGTTTTTCGCTCATCGGGCGCAATTCCACATTCGTTTGTTCCTTCCGCGTGACATACATTGGGACAGCCCTCATTGCGCGGTCTTCATGTCTTTATATTTTTTTGTAAACAACGACGTTTTCTACGTGCATTTTTTTTTTTTTTTTTTTCCCTTATTTGAATAACTTGCAAAAGGACACGTTAAAGTTAATAAGTTAAACGCACCGTTCGGCATGTTGATAAACATTGATAGGTAATGGGCTCGGTCTATGTTGGATGGAGCGCCCTGTGTCTGGAGCTACACATATACGAAGCGTTGTGCTTGTGAAAAACCTCCCACAGGGGCAACGAAATTAACAAAAGAAATGACGAGCTATCAAAAGTCGGGCCGTCTGGGTGAAGGGAACAAACATCAGTGAGTCACATAAAACTCTTTGCAATTTCGTATCCGCATTTATACTTAACCGCATAATAGCATTTTCTACATATCAAGAAATGACAATGCAAAATTTCTGGTTGTAAAAAAAAAAAAAAAACACAAGCGGTACAATTAATACGTGTAGTAAAGGGTAAGGTAAGGACGGGGAAATAAGGAGAGAAAAATACGGCAATGAAAGCTTAGGAAAGGTAACAAAAGGAAAATTAAACAGGCTAAGCATGAACAGGGCAAAAATGAACAGGGCAAAAATGAACAGGGTAACAATGGGGAAGGAAAAATTATTCAAAATTGAACAAAACTATGAAATCAAATAAGATAAAGGGGCGGTGGAATAAACAGTGTTGTGGTGTGGCGTGTTGTACTGTGTTGAATTCAGTGAAATTATACATGTGAAGTGGATATACCGTACAAATGCAAGTACGTGGAAAGTGGTTCGTGCTTGTTCCACGGAAACGTATTTACTAATTATAAAAAAAAGCTGAGATATGCTTCTCCTAGTCAAATCGTGTCCGTTATACAAACAAATAAAAATGGGCACATTAGTATTAGTATGCCTAATGTTTATATATATATATATGTGCTTCCACACAAGCTACGCATACGTTATCATTACTGATACTGAAGTTTTCCCTCGTGGGTCCATTCCTATGCATAGGTTATTTATTGGTACACTGCCTATTACTTCTCGGGAGGGGCGCCAACAGTTGTGCAGATAAGTACTGAACATTCTTCGTTTAAATGCAGGAGATACATGATCTGGAAGTCTTATTACAATGACGTGGCACCGTGGAGGCTTCTACGACATGTTTCATGGTGGAAGAAGGTTTCCTGCACGCGCACACGCAAGCATATGCCTGTATTTACATGTCCACACATGGGATTACGTGCGGTCTCCGTTTTTTGTACTTGGTTATAGACGGGCGAGCTGGACATACTCGTGAGCGCTTATTTAACTGTTAGTCATTTAAACAAAACTGCATCTGCGGAATAGAGGCTAATCGTTACGGATAAGTGCCACTCTTGAGAATATCTGTACGAGTCCCCATGCATGCTTCTCGCCAAGCAATCCCATCCCGTAGCTAATGGTGACAACACGTGTCGAAGGATGCCCTGCAAACTGTTGCGACTCGAAAGTGTGCCAGACTCAATGGCATTCTGTTTAGGCAGTTTACACGGTTAACGTTCGTCATTGGAGACAAGATTACGGATTCGCTTCTACGATGTGCCCCTCCACCCGTCACTCCCTACAATTACTAATCCCTCTATAATGCTGTCAATTGTTCCCTCAGTTTTCACTATGGAGGAACTCCCGTGAATCGTCTATTCCCGTTGCGCATCTTAAATAAACATTAAAAGGATCACACTGTTCAGGTGGAACCCTAACTCACTTATTATCCTGATCGTTATTGTCATCCTTGCCATCGCTGTGGTCGCTATCAACAATGTCATTATTGTGAACGCTCTGTTCATTGTCAATAGTCTCATTATTGTCTACACTTCCATTGTTCGTGCTATTGTTAGTGTTGCTATGATTCCTGTTATTGTTATTGTTATTGTTGTTCTCCTTGTTACTTCTTCCTTTGATATTCTGCGCGTCGCCATCATAGTAATAATTATTCATGCCGTTCATATCGTTGGGATGACAAGTCCCCATGTTGCCATTACAGTTAATTTGGTCATTTGTATTAATCTTATCAAGACCCATTGTGTTAAAGCCATTGTTATTATATTCATTGCTTGGGCAGGGGCGGTTGTACATGTTTAGCCCATAGGAGTGGTTCATGCTGTTTATGTTTCCTTCCATCATTCCATTTTTTTTCGTCATATGATTTATAATATTATCTTCAGTCGACATATGTTCATTTTTTAGGTTCCCATTTCCTTCCTTTTTTTCATGTGTCATGTTTTGCACTCCATCATCAGCATGTTCGTTGTTAACAACAGAAGCATAATTTACATTTCCCATTCTGTAGTTGTTTATAAGATTCTGTTCATCCTCCTTTCCAGGGGTGAGATTATAATTAGTGATGCAATTAAATTGCGAGGTGTAATTGCTCACTTGTCCATTGCTCCCGGGCAAGTTATTCGTATGATTGACATCACTTCCGTAGTTGTTCATTGGGGCCATTTGAGTCATTTGACCAGGGTAGTAGTTCATCTCACTGCCGTAGCTGTTCGAATTATACGAGAGGCTAGTCGTCCCATGGTTTGCTGTGGTGCTGTACGCAGGGTAGGAAGTCACATTGGAGCTCAGATGGTCGTAGTAGTTTACCTTATAGGGATTGTTCAGTTCACTGTTTACGTTGTCGTAATACATGTAGTAGTTTTTGTTGGAATCTCCCCCTGTGGACACACCCGCAGGAGTTGCTACTCCAGCTGTAGCAACGTTCTTATTTTCTTCCTCATCCCCCTGGTTGTTCGCTCCCTTACTACTGTCTGTGCCACAGTTGTGGGGGTTGCTGCTAGTCCACCCGTTGTTGTTTCCAACGTTTCCAACATTTCCGTTACAGCTATGTGCGTTGTAGTTTACTTGGTTGTAGTTGCCGGGTGGGTAGCCTGCCTGGTTGTAACTGCCCTGTTGATAGTTACCCTGTGTGTATCCCCCCTGGACGTAGTTGCCGCCATACGGGTCCACATTGTAGCTTCCCATGTTCATTCCTTTCAAGCTGTCCATATGCATTTGATAATTGTTATTTTTGTAGTAGTAATTGTTTCCTTCCACGCCCCCCCTGCTCATTTTTATCCCATTGGATGTGCTCACCTTAATTCTACATCCCTTAAATTCACAGCCATTCATTTCGGTTAAAGCTCTAACACATTCATCGTGATTAAAAAAATGAATAAAGCAATACATTTTATTTTGATTTTTTTGTGTATTTTTAATCATCTTCACGAAGCAGATACTAGAGTAAAATCGGCAAAAGAGGGTTTCAATTTCTTCCTTTGTTGTTCCTTTGGGTATCCCCCCAACGTATATAGAATATGTGCCCTTATCATCAAGCTCAACGTCTAGGTTCTTCTCGGTCGTATTAACATTATCACTTACATTGTATTTGGCCCAATTCAACTTAAACCTGTGTATCCTTCCAGGTATCCACTTACCGTTTAAATTATCAAAGCAATATTTGGCGATGTCATAATTGGTGAATTCTATAAATGCATAGGAATATTTTTGTGAATTCTTCTCCTTGCATAATTTTACTTTTATTATATCTTCAGCAAATTCGTAAAACATACAGTGTAATAGATAGTTCTCATCTACCACTTCGTCTTTTACTTTGTCTAGCTCCCCTACCCACAGGGTTTTCGTCGTGTTCGAGCTGCTTACATCCTTGTTTTCCTTTACCAATTCGCTATTATCTGTGTTATTCATTTTAGCTCAGAGTGTTTAAAACAAATGTTGCACTTCCCTCGTTTGGCTCTTCGATACGATTGTCCCTTTACCTTACGTATGGCGGACACGAAGGGGCTCCTGTATAAGTTTACTTACTTTCCCTTTTTTCTTAAAATTGAGGGCACCAATGGACAGGAAATCGTCCAATCGTAGAAAGCGGCGCATACAAATGGATTTTCTTTCCCCGTATTGTACTATACTTCACGGTATGTTATTTTTCTTTTCTGTTTATTTTTTTTTCTTATCTCTTTAGTAGCACAGCCTTTGTCGTTTCCTCTGCGGATTCTTTTTTCCCCCCTCTCAACTGTAACGTCCTACTTCGTGTGCTAGTTCTGATGCTTTGAAGATACACTTTCAGTTGAGTAGCAGGAGTCACAATGCACTTTGAGCAATTAGTTTGTACAAAGGCGGCAGCTCTTCATGTATGTGTTTTTCTGAGTAAGTACATGCTTGCATATGGGTTGTACGAAGCGTCCGTTTACATGGGAGGGCAAAATAACCAGCAAGTACGCGACGAGCATGAGCACATCGCATATGCATAGGTTAAGGTAGCCAATGCTGCGGTATCTGCTATCCCTCTTGCGTGCTGTTCCCTTTCGCTTCTTTTTCTACTGTTAAACAGCACAAGAGAAATAAAAAATGGAAAAAAAAAAATTAAAACATCGCAGTTGACACTTTTACCATTGTTAGTTGATGTGTAGATGGGTTTCTATATAAGTGTATGTTTGCCCTCGCTGCAAACTGTTTAAAAAAATGTTATTAATTTATTTTATATATTTTTTTTTTCTATTTTTTTTTTGCTTTTTCATTTACTTTTTTTTGTGATTGTTTTTTTTTTTTTTTTTTTTTGAGCTTAAATAGGTGCTTCGCTTAACCAAAGCATATTTCGTATTCTTAATTTTGCTTTAAATTTCTACATATTCAGCGTTTGTAACCTTAATGCACATTTTTTTTAAAAGGTGTTTTTTGTATCGCATTGCGCTTGTTCCATATATGCGTTGTGTTTTTTTTTTTTTTTTTTAATGGAATACAATGTTTGCTTTCACTTTTACTATTTCGATTTATATATTATTTTTCTTCGCTATGTTAGTGCCGGTCCGCAAATTCGTTTTATCACTGCATATGTTTTGCTCCTTTTTTTTACTCTGTGTTTAACGCTTCAGTTTTTGCTTTCTTCCGTTCTTCTGTTATTCCTTTTTCGTTCTCATTTTTCTTAATTTTTATGTGCTTAGTTTTAGTTTATTAATTTACTTCGATGTGTATCGAGTTTAAACGTATGCGTTACGCCTATGTATGCAATCAGGTACGCTCATATTTGAAAGTATTTGGCAATTGCCTTCTTTTTCTCTCCCTCCATATGTATATATATAATTGGTCCTACATGTGTGCAAGGAAAAAGTGAAATCGAAGAGGTGCTGAGGGCAGTGTATATCTTAACCCGCTGCGGTATATATTTTTGGCCCCGTGTAGAAGCCTTACAACACAGTTGCTACTATAGAGGCTTCTTACACCACTGTCGCGGAGCGAGTGTACACATGCATGAAGACACACCTAGATGGCTTTAACAAAAAAAGTAGCAGATAGCACCCCGCTGGGCAGAGAAACAAGCTGTGAGCTGCTTCAATGGAGAAGTGTATTGGTAGCCACATGCCTTCCATATGAGTGGCTTAGCAACGACTCGTTAAGGTTAATCGTTTCAAGAGGATAGTGCCCTACGTCCCCTCCTTTGTTCTTGTAACACCAGCACTGCTGGTGCCGCAAAACGGGTACAATGCTGCTTTCCTTTTGCAGCACAAGGCATGTGAATCCTGCTTCTCCCAAAGCTTCAGCAGTGAAGTAGCGCAGCTACACATTTTATACGAAATCACCTTTCCGGTGCACAATGTCCCCATCTTGTAAAAGAAGAGTGCTTACGTATTTCTACCTTTGATTATTGCTACTACAACGCCTGTGCAGATAAGAGGTGCGGAAAAAAAACACACACTATCCTAGATAATATCGGCATACATAGAATACGCCTGTTACTTTCTATGAATGAAGAATTATTTAACGAAGTGTTGTGTTAATATTATGTGTGCCAAATGTGTAAAAAAAAAAAGAAAAAAGAAAACGTACGTACATACGTAATCGTAATAATGTGTTATGTGTGTACTACATTTATTTTCCCAAATGGGGATGCGCATTGGGGACATAAAAGTGCGATGCGGATATGGTTAAACGATTGAAACATCTAAAGGAAAATGTTGTTAATTAAGGTGGTATATGTGAAGGGTGAAATGTTGGTTAGGAGACATGTCGGCGCACAGATGGATTGATGAAAAGGGGATTTGCCAAGTAGCTACGCAAAGTTTCAACAACAAAAAAAGAAAAAATATAATGCCAGTCATAATTATAAACGGTAATAGAAATAACAATAAAAATAACAATAACGTAGGTGACGACCATAATGGTACTATTAATAAATGCCGCTCTAGTCTCCCACTTCCTGTCAAACTTTGACTGATTAATTATGTACAAAAACAAGGTTAACAATTTTTACAAAAAAAAAAAAAAAAAAAAAAAACATGTTTCCATGTTCGGGAATCCTCGTGTTAAACAATTCTTAATGTTTTAGCGCGCGTACGTAGAGTACTTTTTGTTCGTCACTTGAATCTGTGCTTCGTTGCTTTGGCCATTTCTTATAGTTGTCTGTTTCCCTATTCAGGCACCTTCCTCAACTCGTTTCCTGTAACGTTAATTCCTTGGAGTGACATCTGCAACTTGCCTTGTCGCTGGACACCGTCCGTCCGTACATCTGGCTTGGCTGTAACATCCGCAGGCGCATCGAGCACATCTCCTTCCACCGTGTGCAACGAATCATACACATACTTGACAGCGTCCGTTCTGTGTAAGATACCAATATGGCTACAATGCTCAAAGTGCCTCTTGTCTTTTACGTTGTAAAAACTATTGCATGCTTCTAAACTTTCGATGGGCACAGTTCCGTCACCTATTCCGTAATAAACAATAGGCTCCTCTTTTAAGTTTTCACTTTGAAAAAACAGCAAATAATCCGTGCTCTTATTCTCAAGTGTGCTATACACACAATATATGGGTACCCCATGGTCCATTGAAAAATACCTCTCTTTGTATTGCTTATGATTATTGTACTTTTCCATCAAGTCATCCGTTAGAAGCACATGCCAATCTGATAAGGTGTACACCTTTAACTTCACGTCAGTTCTGTTCAAGTAGCAATCTTTATTATATATTCCACATGTGGTCACAATAGTCTGCATGTAATTATTATCAATCGGGGCAGAGTCTGTATTCATTATAATTACTACCTGATCATGGTCAAAGTACTCCTTATACGGTATAAGGTCAAACAAGGAACCTACTGAATTTCCAATGGCCTTCATCATAGTATCTGATATGGAAAGTTTGATCAAATTCTGAATTTTGAAAGAAACAAAATCACGGTTTCCATGAAGTAAAGCCCTAATGGTTTTGACGCTACCCTTAAATGGAGAACTCATATACAAGATCGAATTTAAATATTTCTGTTTCCATTCCTTATCAACTATATGTACTAGGAAATAATTTATAAATAAGCCTCCTAAACTATGGCCTACCAGATTTATTTTTATTCCGTTTCTCTTTTCATAAGCTACTTCTATGCTCTCTTTGAAAAGGTTGTAATCTTGTTGGTACAGGGGATAACGCCAATCGTATGGCGCACCCAGGATACTTTCCCCATCAACATAACCATTAGACAAAAAGTGAGAACCTATAGTGTTATAGTATTTTGTTACCCCTATGCCAGTATTGTTAATGTAATCTAAATATTCAATGCCCTTAAGGCGCCCATAATCCTCCACCGTAATGTTTACTCCTGGTTGATTCATATATATTTTTTTCTCATTGTCGTACAGTAACCTCAAGGTATCAAAAGTACAGTACACATTTGATGTTATTGAGAAAAGTCTAGTTAAACTAAGCCATATTCTAAATGGCTTTGAATTTAATGGATCACTGCTGCAACTATGGATCATTGCATTTTTGTAATCAACAATTAGTGTACTTCCTCCAACCCCGGGCAGCAGAATACTCGTGGGTAATTTATTCGTGTCCTTTTTCTCAGACTCATCCTTTGATTCTTTCCGTTTTTGGGCTTTTATTTTATTCTTATTAGCATGTTGCTTCCAGAATAGCCTATACTTTTTTTCCCACTTGCTGCTGCCTACATGTGCCAGGTTTTCGTCAGAACCTGCCTTGGTTTTGTTCCGCAAGAGTTTGGGTTCCTCAGATGGTTTAGCTACTTCCTCGACTGTTTCAACTTCTTCCATAGATTGGACTCGTTCCACCCCTTTGACTTCGTCAACCGTTTCTTCTTCCTGAACTGTTGTTACATGCTCTGACGCCTCTGCTTCCCCTGTTGCTGCTGCTACTTTCTCAATATTATCTTCTGTTGCAACTCCTGTTTTAGTTGCTTCCTCCTTCTTTTCATTCTGCTTTCCATCTTCCTTCTTTTTACCATCTTCTTTGCCACTGTTTTTTGTGCCCTCTGTTCTCTCCTCCCTACTTCTAGTTGACAGAACGGGGTGTATATGTGGCATTTCCCCCTCCGGCTCTGCCTGGACAACGGTGACAGTCGCTTCTTCCTGTTCCAAGCCTGAAGGTGGAGTTTCCAATTCCTTTTCTACCTCATACGGCGCGTTGTTGACCTGACCCCTTTTTTCTGAATTCATAAATATTATTTTATATGGGGAAATCATGAAGGCATTGGCTACATCCCTAATGGATGGCGTAAAACCAACAACTGCTGGTGCTGGCATTAATAGATGCCATAATACTATCAGAACAAATAAAATTGACATTATATCTCACATAAACAAATCAGATAAAAAATTAATGGTATCGGGTGCGGTAGCTGCTCAAAATGACCAAGTGTTAAGCACCAAGGGACATGTAGAACGGGTACAATTGGTTACGGAGAAACACACAAACAAAAAATAAAAAAAAAACTTGTATTATACAAATTTAAAGAATTGTTTTTTATAACAAATTATCTTATCTTCGGGCACATTCTTGAAAAAATTTGATAAATATCAAGTAAAATACGAAGACAAAAATATATAGGTGTTGTATAAATATATGTAAACCTAAATGTACTTAAAAAAAGCGTACACCATGAGCGTGCACATGCTTACACATGTAAATGCTTTTTCTACAAATTGTTTTAGTGTTAATGCGTCGGATAGAGATATATAGAGCAATACTGGTGTAAGTATTCTCCTTACGTATTAACCAGTACTGACGTGTACACGTTGTAACTAGATTTCTAAAAAGGAAGAATACCTCAATGTAAATATTTTCACGTGAGGTACAAGCATCGAAAGAACAACAAATGTCCAGAAAAATATTTTTCTTATATTATAGACATACGGGAAAACTATATATATATATTATATGTAAATATTTATAAGGAGGAACACTGGGCATATCAGTAAACCTGGATATATAAAGAAGATGGTAAAAGCATGCTGCGAACACATGTACTGTGCTGCCGTGTATGATAATACATAAAGAAAAAATTGTATCAATATAGAATGGGCATGCATGCGGGGTTTGTACTTTGTACCGTTCGCCTACACCTGCATTAAAGGTACACATGAAGCTGCGTGCAAATGTAGAGACATAGCATTTATATAAATAAATGTATAATATACATACACGTGTCAATTCTTATTCTCGCTTTTGCAATATCAAAAACTTACAACACAAGTAATTTCTGCAAAATTCTGAATGCACAAAAAAAAGGTACAACAATCGTGCGATGCCTTTCTCCCGCGTGTTAATTATTCCCTTTTTGTGTCTTTGTTTTGGCTTGCCTTTGCTGTTTTTGTTTTTGTTTTGTTTTGTTTTTTTTTTAATTATTTTATATTTGGTTTTCTTTTCCTTTTTCTTTTTTTTTTTTTATATGTATTGTTCCACCCCTTATGGTCAACTATTCTTGATGCCTTTTTTGCTTGTCTGTTATTACTTTTTCTATTTTTGTTGTTGTTTATTCTGTTTTGTTCTGTTTTTTTTTTCTCTTTTTAATTGCAATTATATATATGTATTTTTTTTTTTTGAATTTGATTTCTACTTTAATTTTTCCTGAAATGTGAGTAACTCTCATTTAACAGAATTGGCAAGCAAAAAAAAGCCACGTGTTTATTTATTATCAAGCTGTAACTTTTATTTAAACTTTATTGCACGCCATAATTTAATACATCATATAAGCATCGTTCCACTTGGCACATTGGAAAAACTTGATTGGCACAAGGGTTTTTGCATATCCTACAGTTATCTACCAGTACGTGAATGTGCTCTTCGATTGATGATTTCTGTTCTGCAATTCATTTTTTCTTTTTGTGTGTTTTAATTGTTATTGCATATGCATGCTTGAGTCTTTAGAGCTTAATATTCTTAAAAAAAAGAAATGAAAATGTATCAAGTGTTTGTGGTCATTTGTGCTCGTGTTAAAATTAGCCCACTTTGTTCACTCTCTTCTGCTTATTGCTGTGTCTTTCCCTTGTGCAGTTACTGCTACGTAATGGTTACATAAGTGTGTTTTTTCAAGTGGCCAAAACAAAAAAGAGCTCATCCTGGGCTTATGTTCCAACATTTATAAGCATGCGACACATATGTGCAAACGGGCGCGTACCTGTACACATTACGCATAGTGACCGCATGCAAATATGCAATATTTTGACATGCACTTGCATTGACCTTACACGCCTCTGCATGCACATGGTTCATTTGTTAACCTTTGAAATTGCCACAGTCCACTAATGGAAAGCTTTACATACTGCCCGTGTGCAATGTGAATGAGTGGGCAGTGGTAACGCCATGAGTAGGTGGACAAAAAGGAAGCAAATTTTTATTCGTGTATTTAATGCAATACTACAATGTTCTTTTAAGAAAGCGAGCAAATGAATATCTGATGCCCCACGCAGCGCATGCGAGATATTTCGCTTTCTTAAAAAATGGACGTGCACTCCAGGCATCTACATTATACACTGGCTTATGTTTTACATAAAATTAAATTAAAATTACTCTGGTTACGTATATGCCAATTGATTGATCCATATAATGCCTAAAGGAACCAGCCTATATGTTGCATGCAAGTAGCATGTGACCACCACTGTCATTATTGTAAGGTTACCAATTTGTGTTTTCCTCCTCCCACGCCCCCACATGCCCCTTACAGAACAAAGAGTTAAAAATATATTACAACACGTGAGGAAAGAAAAGAACGGTGTCGGATCTATTTTACACATTCTCACATCACATTCGTTTATATGCCTTTGTAATATTCCACAAACGATGCGGTGTCAAAATTTGCATCAGTACAATTATGGTGTACAATGTTCATTTCGTTAAAAGAGGGATCCTTTGGTTGTTACAAAGGAATCGATGAAATTGGTTCTATATATTCCATTTGTGGAAGCCCTGCACCTTTTTTTTAAGGTGTCTTTTCCGTTCTTCATTATATGCACATGTTAAGAATTGTTCAAAAATAGTCCAACTGACTTGAACAGACGAAAACATAACATTAAAAAAAAAAAAAAAAAGAAAAAAGGAAAAGCTGTTCCTTCTTCGCATTCCCTATTCTACAGTCCTTTGTATGTGGTGCGTGACAACTGTGCCTTATTTGTACCTTGCAGAGTGAACAAAATTATGCTTACTCGACCGCAGGTGCATTCCCCATTGTGCTCACATCAGGTTGAGATAATTGAAAAGACAACCCCCCGATTTGGTTAAGATTTCTCCATTTTTATTTCAAACATTGTTAATTAAAGAATTGGAGGTGGGGTAAACAGAAACCCATCGCAAAAAAAAAAAAAAAGTTATCCAAAATGTTGCAAAATGGTAATTAGGCGGCGCAGTAGACTGACTTACGAGGATTTTATTTTCCTGGCAATAAATGATGAGCTACGGGGGCTACATTTTTTTCTAAAGGTCTAGCACAACCACTGTGCAGCCGTTTTTTTTTTCGATTTTTGTCCTCCTTACGTGAAACTGAACTTCCACGTTTTTGCTTCCCTTTTTTCCTAAACGCTGACCTACACTTTTCTTTCAGGCCTTGGTTGAGTGCGCATCAGTTGTGTCACCTTCTACACGAGATGCGAATACAGCTTAAGTGAATATTAGAAAATGAACAAGGGCAGGTGTTCCCATGCCTTCCCACATACAGATATAGGTCCGCTAATTCCCCCTCAAGAAAAACGGAAAATGAAAAAAATGCATATGTATATGTAAAATTAACAAATGAATACATATTTGCTATTGCCTAAATAACTTGTGTATCTAATTCTATGTAAGCCGTTCGCGAATGTTCCAAAAGCGAGCCTTTTTTCTCCTCATTTACATGCCCCCAATTTGGACACATTTTAACGCTGTTGGATTATTCCCAACTTCATATTGTTGTACTTGCTCAAAACAAAAATTGGGTATACTGTATTTGCTACAATTTTTGCTTATCCAATCTGCCTATAATTGTTCCCTTAAATTCTCAAAAACAAAAAAAAATAAGTGAAAAGGCACAAAAACAAAGAGGTTTTTGTTTCTTGTTTTACCATCACGCATGCTGTTCATATTTTATCCCCTTTGTCCTTGTGCGTGAATTCTATTTTTATGCCAGTTGTTCATGTTATATTTATTTAAAAAAAAAAAAAACAAAAAAAAAAAAATTATATAAATATTATATACAATACGGTTTAATTTTTTTTTTTTTTGAGTGCTTCAACTTTATTCAGTTCTTTCCTGAAGATTTTATTCTTTGATCTTATTAAAAGTTACACTAACATTTTTTTTTTTAGTGAAAGTATCGAGTTCTTAGCCAATGTGGCTATAATTTACAAGTGATTAATTTAAGTACAAATAAAATAATCATGGAAAATTAAATGGAACTGGCATCCATTTTTATGAGGAGAAATAACAGGCAAAAGAATAAAAAATTGAAATAATAATAATAAGCATAAAGTTGGCACGAAGTCCCAAAAAAAAAAAAAAAAAAAAAAA